CACTCCTCAGTCAGGAGCATGCGCACACCCTCCAGCGATTCTGCTTGATCAGCGAACCACAGTAAATCTTCTTTGGTTCGTTTATTGATGTATATCTGAGCGTTCATGAACTTCCTTCCCGCTACTTTGTCATAGGACGAGTTGAGGGCAGGTTTCAGTAGAGGGAAGACGTTCAAAGCCCAATTGGCATAGCCCAGAATGCGAAGCCAAGACCGGAGCGATTGTTGACGTGGCAATGGGGGGTCTTCAAGAAACTCTCGGATAGCTGCGACGAGTTTCCTCTTCGATTCGGCTGGAATCCGAATAGTCATTGCTGGCAGATCCACCTCAAAACCTATGATTTCCAGGACTTCACCATGCTGCTGCTTGGCATCTTCATGAGGAACGCCGATGGAATGGAGGAGGAGGAGGAACTGCGCTTGCGAAAGAGGGATCGCACGTGCGTAGGGTTTGTAATAGGTGAGTGTTGGTGTGAAACTAGCGCGAATGCATCATCCACGTAATGTAGCAAGTCTTGGATACCTTTCACATGTATTCCAATCCAACAAATCAACCCAAAGAAAAGACACCATAGTCGGCCAGATGCCTGATTTCCGAAGACAGCGCATCTATCGACACGGTATTGCCCATCAATCAAGGTTGCTTGGCGAACTTGCCAACGAGGGTGCATTGGTAGATGTCGGTACGCCTGTGAAGCATCTGATTTCCACACCAGGACAGGATGCTTACCCCATTAGCGGCCATACGCGCTTGGATGTTGGTTGCGAGGTCAGAAAGATTATCTAAGACCACAAAACCACCTTCCGCCGGGATGAGCGAATTGAGCGATTTCTCACCAGCACTGTGGTCATTTACTAGCCGTAGTTTTGAGGACCCCTTCTTCGGGACTGTGAACACTGGTTGAGCGGTCATGCCAGAGAGTAACGCAGGGCCAAACGATTCTGAGTACCGTCCTAGGGCCAACTCAGCATCTCGCTGCCGACACAGGAAAGCAACGGATTCAGTATCGAGGCCAGGCATCCCAGAACACCAATTAACGAGCTCGTGGTTCGGATGGCCCTTGAGCAACATCTCGAATCGGTCCACATTAATCGGTGTGACAACTTTGAACAGGTGAGGATAGTTGGAAATGGTATCTGAAATGCCTTTATACTTGTACTCGCTCGGTGGTACAGAGGGAATAGCTGGGGAGTTCTCGGTGTACGTTGCTGAGGGAGTCCGTCCACAATCATTACGGGCAAAGAGGAAGCGCATGTACCGTGGTCGTTTACCATAATGTTCGTGGCTGGACGGTGGGTCATCAGGTGCTGGCCTTTTCTGCCGGTTCTTTGGTGCACTGGTATCGGGGATGGTTTCCTCCACAATTACGGCAGCAGTGTCTAAATCTGCATGGGGTGAAGGTGCATCCTTGCTTTGTGTTGAACTGTCCGCAGATCGGTGTTGATCCTCCTGACCTCTTGGCTTGCTTGTTCCTGCTCTTGCTACCATCAGCAAATCCATCGGGAGGCCCTCGGGCAGATCCTCCTGCATTGAGGTGTTTAAAGGCGATATCGCCGAAGAGATGGATGTTGGATAAGGATAAGTGATTGCGCTCTGGTACAAACTTCCTGACAGCTGAGTCGTACGCGATGACGGCAGTGTGGTTGATACAGACCGAGAATTTGTCGAGCATGTGTCCATAGTAGACGTCGAGCTCGTGGCGTCGGTGTGGGAAGGCCCAGAGAACCGCACACTTATATTTCTCGTAGCCCAATATCCATTCCCCATGCGTCCGAATCTTAGCTTTCCCCTTGGCATTGATCTTGTTGAACGTAAGTTCAGCGCCGCTGCCGAGTTCAATGGCCTCGGTGTATTGTGGAGCGATAGCGTTGTGATCTTTGACAATGCTGGTGAGGTCGATCTGTCGATTGCAGAGGAGGTTGCGCCACAAGCTGCAGGGGAAAGGTGGCGGATGCCCTTGGGCAAGGAGGCTTCGTACAGCGGCCTTGGTGTCGAGGTTGTACACATTGCGGAGATGTTGGGTCTTTTCTGCTGCAGTGAGTAGGGCATCAACATCCCAGGGTGCACCTCCCCAGGGAGTTCCCAGTTCCAGGCATATCGTGGGTCATGGTCGTCTGCAACTTCTTGCAGTCGTTTGGCGGTGCCCCGCAATTCGTCGTCATCTTGTCTGCTCGACGTCGGCGGGTGAGTGTAGAAAGGGGGCTGACCCTGTCTCGGTGAAGTCCCTCACTGGTCTGATTGGGAGCATCAAGCCGGCTGCTTGATTGATCAGCGTGAGCATTTCCGCATTCCCCCCAGGCGATGGCGTCTTCTCTGGATCTGACTGATTGTTCGAGGTGCGCAGTGTAGCGTCTGAACGCTTCGGCGCGTTCTTGGCTGCTGAACGATGGGACTCTGAGGAGGAGTCGCTGGCAGGCGTCTCCCAGGTTGATCGACAGCCAAACGCGGCAACGAGCTCGTCGAGGTCTCGAAGGAGGGCCGAATCGTCGTCAAGCCCAATGGCTTGCTCCAGCGCTGTGAGAATCGGATCTTCGACGATGGGAGGGGCATCTTGCACATTCGGGGCTGGCATGCTTTGGGTGGCTGCGGCTTGGGTGTCGACATTCTGGGACATAGTATGATCACAAGATCTCCGATAGATCAATAGTGCATGAAAGGGCCATAAATACTGGAAGTAGGCAAGGAAGGTTGTTAGGCGATGGCAGCGATTTCAGACCAAGGCTGAATCGAAGTATTCTTACTCACCGAGGAAGAACGGGCTGGCAATGGCTGGGGAACAGGAAGCAGAGCGCCCTTTTAAGCGCGCAGACATTCCTGTTGGCATGTTAGATTTTAGACCGCACCACAGCTGAGACTGTTCCGCTCTGCGCATCTGCGCCGGAAAGTTCAGCATGCGGCCTGGAACCAAGCAGGCTGTGGTCCGTGATGAGGATGAGAGACATCATGAGATAGTCCTCCAATGGTGGTGGGTAACGCAAAAAATACAGATGCAAGCAAAGATCGAAGAAAGAACAGAGAGAGGTTACAAATAGGGAAGAACTGAAATATGAAAAAGAGAGGCTATTACCAAAGTCGTAAATGGGATCCTACCCACTGAAGGTCACAACGCCTTCACCCTTAGTAAGACCGAATACTTACAATCGGAATTGAACAGTCAAACTATTAACGAAAAATAAAAAGTCAGAAAAGACAAAAAGACTGAGATAAAAAAAGAAAAATGGCAGATGAATCAGTGCAAAAGGCTGAGGTGAACATGCATCGGTAGGTGCAAAGATGGCACATAGGCCGAAGCGCAACAGTAAGCGCGATGGCACAAGGGCTGATGGCATTGAAGCCAAAGGCATGGAGGCCAAAGCGTCCAGCAGGATGCGAAGAAAAGAAAAGAACATTACATACCGATATGAAAGGGCAGCAAAAGCCAACACTAGAAAATACCGAGAGATGATGAGAAAAAACAAACTGAGCATACGCAAAAATCAGCATTTGAAAGGGCACAAGTAGGTATGCCGTACGCGAGGTCAAGGAGAGTTTCCTGTGTGCAGCGGACACAAAGGAAACCAGAGTGCTATACATAATATGGAAATGGTTAGAAATCAGGAAAGCCGATTAATATGCGCAAAATCAGAAACGGTTGGAAAAAAGGATATGGAAGCCAACACGAACTGCATCTTAAGGTGGTGAAAGGGGAGGGGGCGGGAGACGCAAAACTAGTCAAACTGCAGCAGCGGATATGAGCAAGAGGAGAGCAGCAACCTGGAGAGGCAGCAACTCATGAGTGTGAGTTCCATGAGCGGCAGCAAGTTGGCCTTTTACTCACAGACGTGAGCAGGCGATAAGGAAGGGGCATGGTGAAAGCCCTTTTAATGGCCTGATGAGCACTCTCGTGAAGTCCAGTACATACCTCCACTGGTATGGTCCGCTTCGCGCATCCACGCCAGAAAACCCAGCATAGTTCTTGGGTCCATCAAATGGTCAGGTTTGTGCAGCAACTCGTGAAAGAGGAAAAGGGGCGAGAAGACAGGCGCAGCGGGGTCTGATCGAGCGGGAGAAGTTGCAGCATCTGATCGTTGCCCCGCGATTAGTCTTGAACATTAAACAACAGTAAATACACTATAGTCACATGGGTTAAGGCGAGTAACTCGCCTTAGACCACGTGAGTTCCTCAAAGCATTGCACGATCGAGGAATGACAGAATGCTCACAGCAATCATCCACAAACAGCCCTAATGCTCCCCAAGAAAATGGCAAGAGACTCAACGCTCGTTACCACAGCACGCCGAACCCTCTAGGACGAGAACCCACCTTGCCATTGATCTAGAGCCCTGGTGCCGAATGTGGTTAGTTGGGTCTAAGAGGTTCTCCTTTGCCACCATGGATAACGTCGTGGATGGCAGTTATGCGTTGAGCTATCCTGCATTGGCCTTTCTGTGCCACCTTTTCCACCATCTTCCATTTTCCTTTCATCGTGCTCCCAGCAACTAGTTGGGCGTCTTTTCTTTTCCTCTCCACCATTTGCGATAACGTTGGGTGGTTTCTAAAACACACGGCTCCCATGTGGGCATCTAACAGCTCCCTTTTCGTTCCCAAAGTGCGGTTCTCCACGGTTCTCCACAAGACCAAGAGGCACGAAGGAGTTGGTCTGGCCAACATTCTCAGGTGCGGTTTTCCTGTCTCCAAAGCATCAAGAGGCACGAAGGCATTCGTCTGGCCAACAATACGAGGAGCCGGCATCTGTTTCTACCACACCCCTGTACACTCACCCTTGGAGACGGCTAGGAATTCACTAGAATTCCGACGCTAACCACGCTTTAATTTCTCTATTTGTACATAATTTCAGATTGTCATGATCTGTGCCCTTGGTGCCCTATTCAGGCAGCCTACACGTTAAATATCCAGAACTCACACACACACACACACACTGTGGGCCGAACAGCTTTACGCGACGCATCATTGTTGCCACTCAGCACATGATGCTGAGGACTGTCTCGATTCATGTTTTACGGACATAGGTGTGATAGAATTACGAGTCTTATGCGTGATACCTGTGTACATCCAAGGTGTTGAGGCACTTAGGGAGACATTGTAAAGCGGTATAAGTGGGCTAATAACAAGGGCAAACGTGTAGCAGTGCAGTGAAATGGTGAAACACGGTGAGACATTGAAACCACTGCTTGTTGTCCAACACGAGGCAATGAGTCTGTCGAATGCAGCGGCATGAAGCAGCTAGCCTGACGCTGCAGGGCAGTTAGCAGCCTCCCATCGGTTAGTAGCATTTCTGTCACGTCCATGACGACGTTTAACACGAGTAGCGAGGTCGTAGGAGTGGAGTTTGATCGCCAATTCACGAGCATATTTCGCAACGTCTCGGTCAAAGGCCAAGCGCATCAACTTTTCGAGCGCATATATAGCACCTGCTTTTCGATCATCTACAAGTGTGCATCCGTCATGGTTGCACAAGGCAATCCAAATGTCGATTTCAGGGTTCCCAAACCGTTTCGAAAATCCCGTACTACGATAGAGAGTGATATGGAAGGGTGGTGCGAGGACAACAATAGGACCCCACTAACGAGAATGTCAATTAGACATCATTAGTTGTGCAACTTACTGACATAGAAATATGAATTAAGCCAATGCGTCGTGGCTGTAATTTCCTTTGGAAGGTGGCAAGAGTCATATGAATGCTTGTGGGGGTTTTCCGAAGAAAAACGCGAGCGCAGGACGTGTTCGAACGTAGGTGAGATGGGCATGTGAGAATCCTCCCTTGTGATGTAGTCCGCTGTCTCTACAAGTACGAGGAGAGACTCTAAAACATCAAGGGAAAAGCGTTGAAGCGATCCTTGATGCAAACATTTCCTTCGAAGCTAGGAAAATGATCAAGAGGGATCGCAAGTTGGGAAGGGGACTCACTTCGACAATCTTGTCAAACTGTGACAATGGGTCATCTTGGGCCAATATGGACGTGATTTCAGAATTAAAAGAAGCCTCTGTCTCAGTAGGGACTTGAAACAGAGAACGCTTTCAACCAAATTCAGATCAAGGAGGAGGATGGAGAGTGATGTCTCACCCATTCGTGTTGACCAAGCATAGGGATACCCATTATCCCGATTCGCATACGAAGCGAATTGATCTCCAAGAGACTGCGCCGCTTCAATTTGTTCTTCGCATTAAGGGAATAAAGAAGCGTCTTGGCGACAAACCAACTTTCATCACGGAGGGTATTGATTGGCATTGGGCCATTGGCAGCATAGTCTTGCATTTGTTCCATATCATATGCAAACTAGAAATGGTTAAAGAAGGATCAAAGGTAACGAAGAACTCACTGGCTGTTGGGCACGACTCGTGCTGGGCTGGTCCTCATGTGCATCTTGTGCACCCTCATCCTCGTGTTGATTGCGGGGACCAAGGAGGTGGTCCATTGTCTATGGAATTTTGTGAAAATGCTCTCAAAATGGCAATGGACTCACGTTGAGTTTGTCACGGAGGCGTGTGAGCACTTCGTGTAGGTTGTCTACATGATCCGAGTGTTCAACGGCCAGAATCTCCTCAATCTGGTTCATTCGTCCCATAATGTTAATTGCAACCTGGTTATAGAGGTCATAGGCCATGCTTGGCATCGTGGAGGTGAATGGGAGGGATAACAGTGACAAGATGACGCGTGACGTCATCTTGTCACCCAATGTCTACAGACGCGCCTCTGTCCAGCTCCCAAGCGTCTATCTCTGCAGAAATAGCAGAAGGGGAAGCAAGAGCCAAGGAGAGAGTGAAAGAGGCACGGCGTCGTCTGTTTAGCCGAGGGAGGATGGCTGCACCTGGGGGGAAGATCGGAGGTAATCATGAGGCTATACGCATACCCTAGCTAACTGTGTTTCAAGGTGAAAAAAAGAGCAAGGAAACCATAGAGGACAACAAGGAGGAGCCTGATAAGTACTAAGTATTCATCAATCACAATCGGGCACCGACTATAGTACACAGGGGTCGAAGAAAAGGAAGGCTTCGGTGGGGACTGGTGCCAGGAAAAGGAAGAAAACTAGCAACACCAAGAAGAGGGAGGAATGCGGTGAGGAACGTGGTGAGGAACGTGGTGGGGAACATAGCGAGGAACAACATGAGGAAGAAGATTGGAATATAGATGCGGAAGATTTGGCACTGTGGCAGGATTATGACTTGTCACAGTATGACTAGAACGTCTATACCGTCAATATATGTCTGACGCTCCTGTTGGTTTCACCATACGAGGAGTTATCCATCCCTTACGATGACTGGGATTGATTGGACACGAGGAAAATTCATCATATGTCAGTGTTATGTCAAATAGCGTTAACTCAGAGGTATCTCTATGGAAGAATGTTGTCTTCTTTTTACCAACCATACAAAGAAACATGCATCGATGATTTCCCAATCAAGAATTGGCAATATGGGAGCAAAATGGCTCAAATACATTTGTGAAATTAACGTTTAAGCTTTATATTGATGTGTCGGGATCAAATATAGAACGCGTCGGGATTTGACGTGTTGGGATCAAATACGCATCGGGATCACGTATGGCCTTCCTACAATTCGAAAACTCTGTTGAAGACTGCTTGAAAAGAATGGCATCAGAGAGCACATTCGACCATTGGCAACGCGTCCATGCAATGACAAGAAGATTGGCAGACGTGAAACAAACTGCCCAACAGCTACGAATGAAGACAGAAAAGGAATTAGGGGAAAGGTTCACCCGGCTAGAAAAGCTGAAGGCTAGTTACAAACTCCCATTGGGAGTTTCCTACTGCCAAAGTGAAGCCCAGTTCGAGCAAGAATATCAAAGATTGTTCGGGAATGAGAGGTAAGAAAAACGGCAACCCGGGCATCTGCACTGACGACCCAAAACAGCGAGATATCCATGGACCTAGAATGGACACAGGAGGAAGGTCCAGTGGGCTGGCGAGCCAGTGTTTTCCAACGGATACGGGATTTTTTTGGCCTGATGCCGCCACGCATCAGGACCATTCAAATTGCCCAATCATCAGGGGTAATAGTGTATCAAATATGCACTCGTACTTGTGAGTTCTTTAGCCACCAACCTATATTTGATATTAATATCCTCAAGGCCCTCAGAAAGTAAAGGAAATCCTCCTTGCAGAGGATATCACGAAATTCGGAGTTGGCATCCAGTGCAAGTTGATAGTTTTACTATAAAAAAATAACTAACAGCGGTCGCTATAGCTGACGTAAATATGGTGCGCGAGGTTTGGGGTCTGGGAGTCTCGAATGCGATGGACATTGGAAGCATCGCCCTCGAAGAACACCCGAAAAGGTGGCAACAGACCAAGGCTCTCAACCAACAACCTGGGATGCAGAAGCTGGCTGTGGTATATCTAGATCGGCGGATAGAAAAACACAGTAACAACTTTCACAGTGGCTGGAGTGCACCAGTTCTATCCGAAAAGCAACTGGAATGTGAGTCAATCATTATCCACTGATTCAATGGCTAATCATAAATATCAGATGCCGCAATCGATGCCTATGCTTCATACCAAATCCTTGAGAGGATCAGGGTGGAAGAAGATGGGGAAGCTATCCTATAAATCCTGCCACTACGCACACAGTGGAATGGTGCTCTTGCAACCCTATTTTCTTTACAACGATCAAATTTGACAAATTCTCATTTATACAATAAGATGAAGATACAGCCGTAGTTTGGAAGTAGGTAAAATTCAGGGACAATAGGTATCGCTTGTGAGCAACGGGCACGTTAGCGCAGTGACAGCTGCCACCACTGCTGGGATGGAGATGGTAGAGGACTGTGCAAAGCGCGAACTGCAGGCTCAGAGGCCAAAGGCCTAAGCATCCAATAAGACGTGAACAAAGAGGAGACTCGACAGTGGGAGCTAGCTATAAACGGTAGCTCAAGTACGAAGAACTCATATTACACGGCGAGTGCTAACCTATAAACAGTAGCTACAGCGCAAAGTAAGGTAGTAACTCTGATACTGACTCTCCAATACGAAGAACTGAGGGAAAAGAGATCAAAACAGTATGTACATGAGAAGGAACGGATAGTACAAACGATGGATCAGGTGGATCCAGTTGGTGAGGAACAAGTTGTTGTTACTCCAACAAGAGCAACGTACCAAAGAAGCAAGGAAGAACACCTGAAAATACCGCGAGACACAAAGCAAGGCCTGAGAAAAACCCACATGTGCAGCAGACACGAGGGAAATTGAAGTGCTCAGACGACACCGTGTTAGATGGATATGGTTCACCCATTCTAGAAACATAAACATGTCATATAAGAGCAAGATAATAGATACAGAGCAACGTAATGCATTGGGAACAAGCAAACACGTTAACGAACAAGATGGTGGGAACAAGGGAAGACGTTAGCGCACAAGATGGTGTGACAAGTGAACACATTAGCGAACAAGATGGTGGGACAAGTGAACACATTAGCGAACAAGATGGAACGGGCGTACAATGCATCGACCCTCTTGGTTGACACCTTTGGGCCCTTGGATTTTCGCTGAAACGTCCATCACCTGAAGACTGGTCGTCACTTTGCATGAACCACACGTGCAACTTGTGACCTCAACCACCTCCTCCATCCAGGCAGCAAGCGACTCCTCCGCTGTGGCACCCTGTCCCGTCGAGACATCCGCAAACTAAGAGGAGTGAATCGATGATCAAATGGGAGACACAAATTCCTTACTGCTCCACACATATGAATTTCCGTGGTCTCATCTCCGTGTAATTGGAATATTCCAGACCACACTGACACAGGCTTGCTATGAGGATGGCAGCTACACTCGGATCCACAGTGGGTGCTATAGAGGTCATAAGCACACGAAGATCGAATAAAAGAGACACTCACAAGACTTGGCAATTGAGGCAATACGTCATTTGGGGTGGATCAGTATTGAGCACCGACAATTCGCCTTGGACTTCTCTCCAACCCGATGGGTCCCCTTCCCAAGCTATCGAGTAACGTCGGTGGGCAGCTGAGAGAAAGATGGGAAATATTAACCAGGGAAGGATTAGAAGCAAACTTACTGCATTGTTGCAGAGTCTCCATCATGACAGGCAGAGAGCGTGCATACCCAGACACTTCTGGCGTAAACCTGGTATATGGATTACAGTCCAGCTGCCCATCCTTATTCTTCATGGCCCTGAATGCCCTAGGATTCGAAAACCCAAAGTGCATCCAGCGCTGCAATCGGATGGACCAATAGCGATATGTACTACGATCGGCATACGAAATCAAACGGTCGCCATTCTTGTGCCGCTACGAGAAGGAATAAAGATATGCATATGCTCAACAAATATCTCACATCACCTTGCAGGCACCAACGCAGAGCACATCCCCAATCTCAGCATCCTTTGGGAGTAGGCTGCGATCAGTCTTAGCGACCTCAACCAATGCAGTCCCCGTAGTATCTGCAAGTAAAAACTCCATAAAGACTGGAAAAGTCAACAGAGAAAACTAAACACAACGGACAAAGACTTACACCCTCCCCCCCTGTAGGGTGTGACAACGGGTTTTTGCTGAATGACCCCAACGACAATGAATCTTGACCCGTGAACCGTTGTTGAAGAGGCAAGTGTGGTAATGCTCTGCGCAAACCAATGAGTATAGAGGAGCTGAAAATAAACACCTTACTTCTGGAATAGAGGGAAAAGACGCGTTTGCCGGCAGCGTGTCTACAGAAGATGTGGATGTGGAAGACGCGTCTGACGTAGAAAAAATAGGTGGGGTGGAGGTGGGTGGGGTGGATGATGTGGATATCGGCTGTGTGGAGGATGCGGGTGGTGGAGAGGATGCCTCACAGCGGCATTTCTTGGGCAGTCTGGCATTGGCAGCAGGGGACAATGCACGCTTCTGGCCTATGAGGAAATGTCAGGGTGGTGGGAATGTTACCTGTCATGGAAGCGTACTCTGGGACATGGTTAGAGAGAGACGAGGAGGGATAAGGAGGGGGGATCAAGGTCAGATCGGGTTTATATAACAGATCGGGAAGATCGGGACCAAATTCATAATGTCGGGACCAATTTTTTCTCGTCGGGATCAACTTTTATATTTCACACGACTAACCGCACAAAACCAGACTAATGAGGTCTGACTGAGGTCATAGCGGGAGATGGCCCAAGAGGCCCAGAGTGTATTGGCAGCAAGCACGGCGAGGCGCTTGGCTACAAGTACAAGGAAATAAGACATACGAGAAAGTTTACAGGGACAACAAACGTCAGAGAAGATGCTAAACGCAAAATCGGAAACGGTTAGAAATCAGGAAAGAATACAGAAGCCAGTTAATATGCGCAAAATCGGAAACAGTTAGAAATGAGGAAAAAAGGAAGCCAATGCTAAGGTGGCGGAGGGAATGGGAGACGCAAAACTAGTCAAACTGCAGCAGAGGATATGAGTAGAGGAGAGCAGCAACCAAGAGAGTGGGAGAGGCAGCAATTCACAAGTGTCGACGAGCGGCAGCAAGTTGACCTTTTACTCACCACGAGAGATGTGAGAAGATTCAGGGGATAAGGGGCGTTGTGAAAGCCATTTTATAAACATGGCCTGAATCGTCGTGAGCACTCTTGTGAAGTCCATACCTCCGCTATTATGGTCTGCTTCACACATCCACGCCAGAAAACCCAGCATACAACTGAGGCACGGTTCCTGGGTCCATCAAATGGTCAAGTTTGCACAGCAACTGGTGAAAGATAGGACACAGCGATAGAGGAACGTATCACGTAGCAACTAGGTTGAGTACTCAGTGGGACAGTCGGATGGAAAGGGGGAGAGAACAGAGTTGTAGCCGAGGAGTAATAACATTCTGTCAGACAAAAGTAATAGAGGGGGGTAAGCGCCACACACAAAAGGTGTATCAAGATAGAGTGTCTGCTATGCAACAGTCAATCCAAGGCGTGGCTCTTGGCATGCCAGAGCTGCTACGATGGTACCACGTCTCATACCCTCAGCTGACACATGTGCTGCCCAACGTCCCCACTCTTGTACAGTTTTGTTGTCCGTACCCAAACCTGGGAGCTCACAAGAGTGCCCGAACTGGGGTGCCAATCTGTCTCTCACCGAACGTTGTCGGAAAGTGAGATAAAGAAGACGCATATACCACTCTCGTTCATCCAAATCATCTATCCCAGGGCAAGACTCGTCCGCATGAGAGAACTGGCAGTGTGGAGGATGGCATCGGCATTTGTCAATGTAGCAATGACCACAATACGAATAGGTTTGTTCACTGAGAATTGCTCGATGGAACGCTACACATGAAGGAGTGGCATCCTGGAGACCGCGCTTGAAGACTTCATATTGAGGGCCAAGAAAATAAAAAGGACATGGTCTTGAGATTGGAGCTTTGCTGAGCTGAGGCGAGTGGTAGATTTCCGTCCCTGTTTGATAGAAGCAAAGAACGCAACCCATGTGGAAAAGGGACAAGACTTCGTGGGCATTGGAACCACGCAGCATGTCAAGCATTGTGGAGGGGGTAGGGGGTGCGCGCTCGGGAAAGCCTATTCCTGTGTCCCAACCCAACAACACAGGATCATTGCAGACTTCCGAGTAGGGAGGAAAAATGCAGCAAGATGGGATAGACGGTAAACAACGAACGTCTTGGTTGTCCTCAAAAGGCCTGGGCTCCAGTTCTTCTGGTTCCATGCCTGAATGAGGCGACACATTGTGAGCTACAAGACAGGAAAGTGGGACAGAACGTAATGGCGGCAATGGTGGTTCCTCAATTGGGATGGGAGAGGGTGAACGGGAATATGGTTCAAGACACCAAGAAGGAATGGAACGAGACGTGTCTGTGATACGCAGCTGGGATTCGTCCTCTTGCACGACAAAGAGAGGAATCGAGGGCGGCTGGTGTTCCTCGTTCGAGTTGGCCATCGGGACAGATGAAATGTCCTCTGGAATGACAAAGCATGAAAGAGGAATTGAGGGCAGCTGGCATTCCTCGATCGAGTTAGCTATCCAGACACATGGATTTGCCGGTGATTTGCGTTCCTTGGCCGAGTTAGCTATCGGGGCACATGAAATGGCAGGTGGCTGGATAAGAGGCCCCTTAGGGGATATCTTTTTTTCGGGGGGCTTGGGAAGGGGAAATGGGATAGGGACGTGACTAGGGGTCTGAGCAGGGTGGAGAAGGTTTTCGAGGAGATACTGGGGTGGTATCTTTGTACCTGATACCAAAAATTCTGAATGTCTCTGGCCCTGAAATACACATTAGTACAGCGAAGGATCAAGTATAGCACACCCACTTTATGAAGTTCACAAACGTCACAGAGGGAAGAGTCAACTACATACAGACAGGTAAGTGGCTTGTCGTCCAAGACCTGCCCCAACACGAGTCGCCGGCAAGGTTGGTCTGCCAAGGGCATTGTGAGTGATGATAGCAGTTGCTGGCGTTCCGGTTCCCCAAAAGCAAAGCGGTGCTGTTTCATGGGAACAACAACATGAGAGACACCAAACTTGATGCCCCTTGCCACTCGTCCACTCGCTTGTGCAAACTCAACAATGGTCTCCGGAAAGTCGTAAAATACTGCAGCCACAACCGCAGGATGGTCAATCCCATGATAGAGCCCACTGGTGCCGATCAGGATAGAGTGCTTCCCGTTGTACCAATCCCAATAGCGATCTTGGCGGCTTTGCACCTGGGAGTGGTAGACAATCGGGCGCCGCTGATTCTCAACAAGAAGGTCCGCAATTCGTTCAGCATCAGAAATCTCCCTTACAAACACAATGACCCGTTGATCTCTCTCAAGCGTCGTCGCATACTTTCGGGTTATCGACACAACACTATGGTCTATGTCAGGAGACAGTTCAAACCGATATTGGATCTCAGGTCGCTGGGTATGAGAGTCTCGGGCAACCACAGTGCGACGAGCATCGAGGCCCAACAGGGAAGTGAGCTCGCTATACATCTTAGGGGGTAAAGTTGCGGTCAGAAACACCTTTTGGATAGATACCGTCATCCAATTTCTGAGAAGACAATACTGGGGCCGAAAGGTGGACCAAAGGCACACAAGATGCACCTCATCAAGAACAAGCCGTGTAATGCGTGGGCTATGACGTGCCAAAGAGAGCAGCTCATCGTGATTGGCAGCTTCCAACGTGACTAGGATGACGCGATGTGTGGTCTCCACTTGAGCCGGCCATTGACAATATGGGATGCAAAGGTGCTGGAGCTTGCGGCAATAATCGACTTCAATGGCAACAAATGGGGCAATGACAATCGAGACAGAGTCATCCTCCATGAGCGAAGGAAGGAGGAACGACAAAGACTTTCCTCCTCCTGTGGGGAGGATGGCAATGATGTCATTCTGAGTGGTCATCAGCCAGGAGAGGAACTGGGCCTGAGCGATGGACTTGACTGTGGTAGGACGTCCATAGATATCCTGGAGATATGCCAGAACACTGGCATTGAGTGGGGGTACATGGTCCTCGGCGAATGCACAACCAGAAGTGGGGTCAAATGCAGGGACAGTTCGCTTCATATTCCTCATCCACTCATGCTGCCTCTCACGGAACATGTAGTCAAAAAGGCCTCGAATATCAGGAATAGGTTGAGTGAGAGGAGACGGGCAAGTTGGATTCTGCAGGGATGTAGGAATCTATTCGAAATGTCAGAGACGGTAACAATAAAATGAACGTTCGCACCAAATGAACTTCGGATAGCCCAGCCCATACATGGTATCTCTGGCAAAGGTCCTGCATTGCCAGCAAATCTCCCTCGCTGATAGCTGAGATTTTTGATGCATCAACGCCATATCGGGTCTCACCAATCGTGTCCGAGTGGCCAAACCCATAATGAATGGCAGGGTGGACTAGTTCTGGCCGAGTGAATGCATACATTTGTTCCGTCTGCCTCACAACTACGCCTGTAAGAATGGCTTTGGCAACTTGACGCCACATGTGTAGGTTGAACTTGAGACCCAAATGGCCATTGCCAGCAATGTGACTGATTCCTTGTGAGAGTGAAACCGGATTCACTCTCCGTCCATGTTGCACCCAAAGGAAGCGCTGGTAATCCGCAACCTGATGGGTGTAGAATAGGTGGGCAAACTTTGTCTCCACAGGACGGACGATGACGAGATATTCAATGAGAAGTTCAGTGAGCCCATCAGGTAAGAATCGAACAACTCGTCGTGCCCCGTTGAGATGCCGAGTTTTCATGTAGATAGAGACGAGTGCGCCCAACCCGGCACAGATCCGGAAGGACTGCTCACCGCCAATCTCGGTGCCTCTGAATGTCTGACTAACAACCTCAGTTCCTCTTGCAACTGCGCCCACGCTCAAATGGGTTGCCACCATCAATGCCTGTGCCAATGTTCAATTGCAACCTGAACCTGAATAAAAGTACTCACCCTATTGAGCTTGGACGAAAGTTGGAGGAATTGATGGAAAAGGGCAGTATTGATAGCAAGCTTTCCTGCCGTCTGAAAGACGAGGAAATGACACTGGGAAATAGCTCCCAAAAACTCGTCTGCAAACGTCAACAGGCCGTTGGCAGGGAGATCGATGAACGATTCCAGGGATTCAACAGGATCAATGAAACAACTTGATGGCACCACTTGAAGTCCTTGTCGGATTCTCTCCCTCAGCTGGGTCGGGACCCATCCAGGCGTCGCATACTGGTATAACTTTTCAAACGCGTGACGAACCTCCCTGATGCTTCTTCCAGGCATTGCACGAATGATCTCCACATCCACTAGGGCACCTTTCCAAAAGAATGAGGTATTGATCGCAGATTTGGGCCAGGAGAAATAGTCGCTAGGTGTCAATGAGCCCCTGACTCTAACGACACCTGAGAGCCACTTGGCCAGATAGCGAAGTCGTGAGAAGGGTGTAGACGAGGTTGTGTCGAGGAGAGGGAGGAGAGATTTAAAGCACCTGGGAATCTTCAATATGTGCACTTGGTCAGCCAGAAATCACTTACATGTCCAATTTATCCGATGATGTTTTTAGGTTGCGTTCTTTGATATAGCCAAAGATGCCGATTGTACGTGCCAGCCATGTCAAATGGGAAACTGTGGAGGCCATAGCATCGGGTCTCTGAAAGTGGTAAATAGTGCTCCTCTGGGATTTGGAGCCAATCACCGATGCAAAGATAAAGCGCTCCATCAACGTATCCCAGTTAGACTGCCAAGGACTAGTGCGCTCGGCCCACAGCTCGGACCAGACATCTCCAATGACCATAAATCCATCGTCGTTGCCGAGGAGGGACTGTTTAAGCTGATCAAGGGCCACCCACAGATTCGTCGACAAGCATTTGACATAATCGACCCAATACTTTCCGGAGGGGAACTGCCAGCGTTGGGGGATAGCCCCATTCAAGTGGACGGTGTGTAATGCGCAGGCAAACGTGAGGGCTTTTGTGAGGTGACGGCTTCGAGTACTGAAAGTACCCTTTGAGGATGCAGCGCTGAACGGCCTCTTGGCATCTGGTCTGGTCAGAGTCAAATTCATAGTGTGCCCTTCCCAACGTGCAACCTACTGTGAAATTTGAACCAGCTGGAATCGCAGATTGTGGGGTACGTGTTCAAGTTGACTTTCAATATATGTCAAATACTGCTCAGACCAGCGATGCAGACGGCCAACATCAAGGTCCGTCTCTTCAATAGAGGCGGTCTCAGTAAGAAGTTGGAGATGTTGCTGCATTAGATCATGTGTAGCAAATCGTTTCCAACCCATCCTTTCCACAGTGGCGCTTGTATCCCTGTCATCGATGATGGATGGTTCTGGAGGGGAGTATGCTGGCAGAAGCGAGTTTAAACATGAGATCTGATGCGAAGGGGCAGAAGTGGGGGATTCTGAGACAATGACCCAAGGAGAGCATGGAATGGGCGCTGATCCGCTGATGATTAATGGGCTATATCGTATCTTTTTATCCGGTGGGTACCATCTCTGGAGCTTTACTGGCCGCGAGTGCATTTTCTTCCAATGTTCAGGCAACTTGTGTGTCTGGTAATGTTCACGCACACCCTTGTGAGGATCTTTGCCTGAAGATCCGGTTTGCGGGAAACCATGTTGGCAATGAGGGCACATGAATCCAGGAACTGGTTCTCCAAGGAATGGCAAGAGTGGATGGGGACCAGGTGGGAGGGAAGTGTTCAAGTTTGGGGTAGGGATACAGAAACGGGAGACGATCTCTAGCACCTCGTCGATGGGACAGTCATGGCAACACTGATGGAGGTGGTTGGACAACGGGTGTTCTTGAGGTGTATGAGTGACATCTAGGGCATGGTGAGCGATATCACACAACAGAAGGCGGAATCGGGGATGGTAGGTAAGGCCATTTCCCAGGGGAGTTGAGTATCTGGACCAGGAAGGAGAAAGGACTGCGCGTGAGATGTGTGGACATGCAGTCCAAAGTGCCACAGGGATAATGGTGGCTGGGTAGGGCATAATGGACAATAGTAGGATGCATTTGCGAGAGGAATGTCTTCGCTACCTGTGAAAAGGCATTAGTCACACAGAAGGAGGCTGCAATTTACTAACCTAGAGAAACGACAAGGTGGTGTCGCTGGGCATGGGTGGCTTCCTCTTCAGGACTGGGGAATATGATACGGCATATAGTGCACCCAAATGAGCTCTCTGGATGGCTTCGCCAATAGTGGTTATAGGGTGCGTCTGGATTGGCCAGCGGTTCATCGCAAATTAGACATCTAGGAAGCAAATCAAGGAATTGCACCAAGGGCCATAAAATAAATATTACAGCTCTTCGTCTTCATTCTCTTGCTCTTCAATCTCTTCAAAGGATGAATCAGAGTCATATGCATCCATCAAGGTCGGGGTTGAATTAAAAGTTACGCGAGTAACGAACAAACAAACAAATACAGAATAAAGATCACATGGGTCAAGGCGAGTTACTCGCCTTAACCCATGTGACTGCTGCTCCGACAACCCACACACACGGTGAATCTCAACATGACATTGGTGTAGAATTCCTGCTCTTATGCTACATTCTGTGTGTGTTATTCCGGCTGGCTAGATGTGTGTGTTGCCCACTGCTCTAATATCCTTCATGTGATTCTTTGCATCCAGTGTGTTCCGCTCGCTCCCCAGCCCCACGTCCTCACTCTACACTGGATGGGCGCTGTTGCAGCCCACCGGTGGTCGCTGTGGGGGCTGTCTCGCTTCACACTAAATGTTACTTAAAGTTGTTTTTTTTCAATAGACCGAACACCATACCACAGCCCCTAACCCAACGCAACCCCCTACCCAAACCCCCAACCCCCTACCCAATTGCCCAACCCCCTACCCAAACCCCCAACCCCCAACCCAATTGCCCAACCCCCGACCCAATTGCCCAACCCCTCATGCAATCTGCGTTATGGCAGACGATGCAAGCGGCATAAGGACTCGGCCTGCAGTGTGGATAATCACACTATGGTAACCGACATCTCAGTGGGGCAGTTTAACATTATTTGATCGAGGAATCATATAATATTAACATATACTAATAGCTGGGAGCGAGTTCTGATCGAAGCGTTCCCATTGGTCCGCTCCTGATTCTCGCTCTCTCATTGGCTCCGCACACTTTCTCCCACGTTTTTGCGCCTCCTCATTCGCTGGCTTTACCACGGACTTGCACGGTTTTTTGTCGCAATGACGTCGCTCCAGAACCAAACCTCTGACTCACGCAAGCGCCAGTCATTCCAAATCGCACACGGACATGTGTCTACATTGCGTAGTCTGTGGGATCCCACACTTCGTCGCCACTCTTCCACAAGGATTGCCATCCGACACGCACTCCACACCCTTGATTCGTTCAATCTCCACACACGGCTCAGCGCCTCTGCGCTCATTACACCTCGCTGCCCATGTGTCTCATCCTAGGTTATGATGCTACGTAAGTGGCCTCATTCACTCTTCGCGCGATCCGACACAAAAGCACCTCATCTTCCATCCCCAACTCCCCTCGCTCTGGCCTGATGGCGCTGAACATCACACTCCGCTCCCACTTCACAGCGTATGCCTTTCTAAACAGCGATCCAGAATTCAGTAATAGTCGCCTGCACAGTGACTTCCTCATTGGTGCGCTCAGTTTTCGTTCCCGCGTCTCCACTGATACCATGCCGCTCAATTGACGGGCCAGGTTCCGACGTCGCGGATGCCATGAACATCAAATTCAACTTCTTTGTTCCTAAATCGACTACCATTCTGCCTCCTTCGCTCGGTGATCTGCTATTTGTTCGCGGCTCTTTCATCCCTCGCATTGTCAATGGGGAGTTTATCGCCACCTCCTCCCTCTCCTCCTTGACTGTGTTGCTCAGCAACAATCCGGGGAAGGACATGCGTCCCGTTACTGACACCAACGCTTTTTTCGACTTCACGGGCTTGTGTACTGCCACTGGCGATCGTTGGTTCACATTGGCCACTGGCGCATACCAGGCTGTGGTATGTGTCTTCCACTCACCACACCACCCAATCCGCTCATGATGTACATACAGTCCAAATCCGTCCTTAACTTTTCTGTCACCATTCTCATTCCGTCTACCACACGATGGAAAAACTTCTACTATCCACCCACTGCGACTCCTGTCCACTGCTCGATTTCATGACATCCACGACAACGTTGCCCGCTTCAAGTTGGAAGACATCGGGTACTTACGCTCCTCCGCTTCCACTTCTTCTGCCACTGCCCCGCACAAAAAAAGGAGCCTGTTTAATCGAGAACCCGCGACTTCCGCTGATGACGTCACTACCACATCCGTGCTTAGTCCCAAGGATTGGGAAGACGATCATGACAATGACGATGCGGAGAGCAGCAACAAACGCATTAAGTGCTAAATGCAGAATGAGGGTCATGAACGTCCCTTCCAATTTTCCGTGTTTGTCTCTATGCTATTGTACTCTTGATTTGTGTATATAATGTCGCTCCACCCGAATGAAACTCTTTGTTAGTGCACCCTGCCTGTTCTTCAGAAAACATCATGAACTCGCTTGAACCATCCACTTCCGTACGTCGTAGAAGATCCAACACTGGATCCTTCGCATACCTACACTCCTGGAACCCCCCTGCTCTCTCCACACCATGGAACACGACTCCGTGTAATCATTGTGATGCCCTACTTTTGAAAGACGAAAAACCTTCTTGGTGCTGCCATAATGGTTCAAAAGCGTTGGGTTGGGTTGCAACGTCTTTCGAGATGACTAATCACACTATGGTAACCGACATCTCAGTGGGGCAGTTTAACATTACTTGATCGAGGAATCATATAATATCTACATATACTAAAAGCTGGGGAGAGTTGCGATTGAAGCACTCTGATTGGTTGCCTCACCTTACCCACTCATGAGCTACAGGTTTACAGTGTTGAACGGTGTTGGGTTGCAACATGGAAATGTACTAAAATTTCTTGCGAATTTTTTTGAATAACTGGGGAACACCGCCTGAAGCGGCAGATCCCGCTACTCTTACCCCGCATGCATGTTCACTCTCAATGTTGCTATTGGCTGAGACGAAGCCTGAGATTTGCTCTCGCTCTGTAAACCCACCACATACTCTTATTTCAGAACCACGTAATTTACACTGCAGCCACACAGCGAGAGGAATAGAACTGTATGGGGCAGAGAATGGACCCTGGGTTTGGGGGTCATAGAGGACCGTGTGCATAGGATAATTGAGTTGGGGCATAGGACCCGCTATGGAGTAGTGGGAGTTTCTCGATAATCTACTAATCAATTCAGTTTCAAATTTGATATCATTGATTATGTAAAGTCTCTGAACACCATGGGAAACAGTAGCAAGACCCCTTTGGGCGACATAGGGGTCCACATATTCCACAAGTTTCATTGTTTCAGGAATAGTTGAGGCATTGGACCGACGCTTGTCTTGAATTTCTCGCGAAATTTTTTGCATTTCTCGATAATCTACTAGTCAATTCAGTCTCAAATTTTATATTTCAGAAGGTATTGAGAGGTACAAATTGATTATATAAAAGTATGCGAAGAACGTGGGAAACAGTGAGGAAGAAGTGATGAGCGACAAGGATGCTAAGGTAGGTGATAAGGATAGAGGGAGTTGCCGGGTCATTCAAAAATTGAATGCCTCGAAGCCCCGTGAGAATTCCCTCGAAGGGGTCGTGAGAATGAAAAATCAATTCAATTTTTCGTGGGAATTTCCCTCGAAGCCCCTTCGAGGGCGAATCCTAGGTATTGCATTGTTGTGTTGTTGTGTTGTCTTCTCAACTTCAGTTCTAACTTTCTCACCTTCCACTTTCTTCCTATCAAAAAATTTTCTTGTGGCTGTGCAAAAAAGTGCACAGCCACTTCTCTTTTTTTTCTTTTATAATTTTCACTAAAATCACACCTTCCTAACCCTGTCAACCATTTCAATTTTCGTCCATCCAGTCAAAAGTTATTTCACTTTTATTTCACTTGCACCCTCACTGCACCCTCCTGCACCCTTGAAATTTATTTTCCAAAAAAAAATATTGAAAAATTCCATTCCATTCTCTCTCCTAAATATATCCCTCTGAAAAAAAAACCCATATTTATATCTATTTTTTCCACTCAGATATTTCACTTTTTATTTCAGTTGCACCCTCACTTGCACCCTGCACCCGAGTGCACCCTCAAAAAATTCCAAATAAAATATTTTCCCACTCTATTTCCTCACCATATTCCACTCCAAAACACCCCGCATTTTTCCCTATTTTTTTCGTTAAAATTTTATTTTTCCCATATCTCCTTACCCAGAGCAGCTATTCACATCCTCTTTTTTTCATCTTGTAGATCTCCCCTACAGCTATCTGGAATGCCTATTGCCACCCATAATTCTCAAAACTGACCGAGAAAACATCCAGGCTTCAGGTCAAGGGTGCAGGGTGCAGAAATTATGTCTGCGCTTATAACTTTTGAATGGCTGCACCAAATTTCAAATGATTGGTACTGTTAGAAAAGGTGTGATTTTTCTCTTTTTTGCAAGCCCGGAAAATCCCGAGGGTGCAGCGGCAAATGCCTTTCGCCCAGTTCTTCTATAGATTCTGGTGGGCTGCTATCTGGATTTGTCCTGAGACTGTTTTCGGGTCCCTGCCGCCTCTCAGGAGGAGTGGACTAGTTGGGGTTTGGGATTGTCCGTTTTCCGATCCTCCGTATCTTTCATCGGGTTTCTGTAAAACAGGATAAACATTCCACCCTTGTTGAGTTGACGATGACCTTGTGATATTGTTAGTGATCTTTGGGCATATGGAGGTCCCTGGCTCAGTTGCCAGCCGATTTTGCCATGGGTTGGGTTGGGGGGGTTAGCGCTAGGCTTTCCTGTCACCAGGGCTCAGTAAAATTTGGGCTTTGCACTTTTGAGGTTCCTTATTTTCATCGATGACATTTTTGTATATTTACAGTGAGAGTATGATTGGGCAGCTAGATAATTATTATGCTTGTTATTATTATTTCTAGTGTGGTTAACAGTACTCTTTTGTATGTTTTTTCTCAGTAGTGGTTTCGTGGTGGAGTTCGTTTGGGGTATTGGCCAAAGCTGTTACCTCTACAGGGGTGGCAGTCATATGGGATCAGGGGTGGGCCCACGGTTTGTTGCAAGGGGCCCTGTGATCTCCAGCTGGGTCCTTGTTGGTAGTTACCATATCCACGTCCTCGCCTTGAGGTGGTGTCATGCTTCGGGTAGCGTTCCTTCCATGCCCAGTGTTGGTGTATTGGGCATATGTGAAAGGAGTGGTCGATAGCCTTGCAGGTGTGGCAGAATCTATGGTAGTTGAAAGCTGTGCCTGCTTGGGTCCATTTCCCTACAAAGGTTGCCGATTTGAATATCTGAATCCATTCCTCATGAAGGGAGTCTCGAGTGTCAGTTAGCACGCTGAGGGGGGGTTGCACATGGATTTCCCACATGGTGACTGCACTGTCCGTGGTGGGTTTCCCTTTTTCGTTTATGTTGTCTGCGGTGTCTTTGCCATTCAGGGTGTATCCTTGTGGGGTGGCTTGGACGCTGTCTACGATATCCATGACTTGGTCCAATGTCATGTCCATTTGTGCTAGGAATGGGAGGAATAACCCATTCGTGTCCACAATTGTGTCTTGGACGGCTGTGACAATGTCCTCCTCATCCTTGAGTCTTTTGCTCATACCAATTATTAATGAGGCAACAAAGGTTGTTGGTCTAAGTTTCAGGTCTATCCCTATAAACCCAAATTTCCGGCATATCCAGAGGTGTTTGTTGACCAGGAGGTCGGCATAGGGTGGGTTAAGACCTTGGACTAGAAAGCCCCATGGTTGGGCGTACTGCCCATAGCTTTTCTTTCCTACCTTGGCAGGGAAGGGGGGAATGATTCTCACTCTCTTTGTTTGGTCCAGGAAGGCTCTTTCGATGAAGATTTCCATATTAGTTTGGAAGTTGCACTCATTTTCTTCGTTGTAGGCTGCATCCAGTGGCAAGGCCAGGATAGCTCCTTCTGTGCGCATCCATTCTTCAGCTCTGGCTGGGTTAGCTCCTTCTAGCAGGCGGGATGGGCAGAGTCCATATGCTACGAATTTCTTGAGGTCGTGTCCGAGGGCGATCCAGTTGTAGTCCTCTTTTCCATCTTTTGGTCTCTCTGCTTTTGTGGTCTTGGTCTCATACATGGCTAGGTTTTGCATCTTGTTAATGTCCTCAGCGCTGGTTACTGGGTGCCAGGAGGAGGGGTGAGGGAGTTATGTCTGATCGGAGCATGTTTTCGCTCTGGTTCTCGTTCATACTCACCGTTGTGAAGACATCCTGGGGGGCATCCAGGTTTCCGGGGTAGAGTTGGGTGCCGGTCCCTGATTTTATGATGGATTTTTTGCGGAGATGGATTCTAGGAGGCGCTCTGGACGGTCCTTGTAATTTGGCAGCTGTCGGGGATCTAGCATGCTTTCTTGTGTCTAGTTGTAATGTGTCCCTCGTATTTGTGGTCATGTACCTCAAGTTTCTGATTGTTAGGGGACTGGGGGGCCCGTCAGGTGAGCTGCAGAGGTCGTCATCCTCGCTTGTGGCCTTTGTGATAATAGGCTGGGGTGGTATGGTTGTTGGGCTTTCGGTGGCCAGCTTTTGTCTGGGGAGGTTCTTCTTGTTCGAGCAGAGGGCCTCCAGTGCGTTCTCATCTTCTGGGGTAAGCGGGGCTGCAGACAGTGGTTCATTAAGGGGGAGTGTCTATTTTTGTGGCATCTCTGTCAGGGGGGGGGATATTTAGGTGGTAGTGGGTTTACCTCCATGACTCCACCAGTCGTTTTCTGGGGACACTGGGCTTGCGGCTCGCAGGCTGTGTGGTAGTTCAGCGAACTGCCTAGTTCCATCAGAACTGCCTGGTAGATCTAGTAGCCAGCGTTGCTCTCAACGCTTATTTGGGTTCTAGACACTCTTTGTCGATAGCCTTTGGCTCGAGTGTCTTCTCGACTCCTCGCCAAGGTGCTGCCTGAGCTTTAGTCCCCCGACAATTTCATTAGATTTTTTGGTTCATAATATTCATGTATTCATGTTTTCATTTTTTCTTTGCATTGCGCAATGGATGTGGTTTTCTCTTATCTACGGGTGAGGTGGTAGATGGCTGCTCCTGTGGCCGAATCATAAGCCCTTTCCCTCTCAATCATCTCCAGTGTTAGTTGCCTCCATTCCAATAATAAAACCAGTGTTGCACCAGGATATTTTGACATTGGCTTCATAAACATCTATAATGGATGGTCCTCGCTTTTATTCTTCCATTCCTCTTTTTTGATCCTCTCTTTGTACTCATCCAAATGTATCGAGCAAAAGAGTGGTGGGTTCTGCCGCGTCAGGCGGCGATCACCAGTTATTTTTATAGCCTAAGTATATTCATGAAATGAAATAGAAAAAGATTCATGCTGGGACAGGTGAAAGGAAACATGCGCTGTGCAGAGTCAAGCAAAGCGCGAAGCGGAAGCACTCTAAGTCCAAAGTCAACTTTCTAAACTGGTGCAGATATCAGACATGGTGAATTCAATCCAATATGATACTACTACATGTCAGATGGCTTGACTTCTGTCGTTTCGGTACTTTATATATATTTTCCATCTGGGGTGATGATGATATTATGGAAGGGTCCAAGGGTGAAGGATGTGTGAAGGATGGATAATGGTTGATTTTTCCCTGATGGAAAAATTCCCATCTGGGCATAATAATAATGATATAATATTCGCAAAGGGTGGTGGATCAATGATCATGATGAACAAGGGCAAAGGATAGATGAGGCTCAGTTTCGCCCCAATGAAAAACTTTCCATCTGGGCATCCTCTTTCGTTACTTCCCCCCCCCCTTTATACCTTCTTTTTTCCACTCCGCTGTCGCTTTGAAGGTCTACTACTACCCTCCTCCACATCCGAGTCACTTGTGTCTCGTTCAGACACTGTTCGAATCGATGTGTTTGATGCACTCCGTCGTGGCATGCTTCCTGGCAACCCCAATGGCGTATGGATCTTGTGCTCCTTGCACAATCGTGTCGCGGTCTCTCCTCCAACCAACATTGCGATCGCCCCATATATCGCATATGGTCCTCCATCTTCAAGCTGCTCCACGAACCGTGCATAGATCCCTTCCATCTCTCTCTTTTTGTATGCCCGGTAGTCCGTTCCCAATATCCCTCCAAAAAACCCCTTCTTTGTCAGTGGTTCCATCAGTCCAATCCGAACGATCACTGTCCCAAGTACCCCTTTTGCCCCTATGATTGTTTGAAAAAATTATTATCTTGATATATATATGTCTATCCCAAAATCACCACTTCCTTACCCATCTTTGCCTTGAACGCCTGGTTCATTTTCCCGTTGTGCACCGTATACCATGGACTGCTCTTATCAACGTGCATTCCAATGAACAGGAGCCAACATGTGAACATCGTCGTTTTGTCGATCCTCCCCTTGTTCCCTTGTGTGCTCCGAGAGTTGTCCTTCCATCCCAGCTGAGATCCCCATCTTTGCAGGTCGTTCGCTAGTATGGGTTCCTCCCGAGATGACGACGTCCCTTGTGCATCCACCGAGTGACTTGGTGCCATTCGTGACAGAATGATAGCCCCAAACAGTGCCATCCTATGGGCAGGCAAGGATCCATCATAGCGCTCTTTCACCCATCCAACCATTTCCAGAGATGTTGGCTCTTGGTCCTTTGGCCCAAATCCAAAATCACTTGGCAATCGAGCCCTCTTCAACACTCGTGGCAGGTCGTTCAGATCCAAGTCCTTGATCATCCACTCCACGTTCTCGTTCTCATCATCCTCTCTTGCCACTGCTCTCGCTGCTGCAGCATCCATCTCTTCCTCCATCGTCATCGCTCCTTTTCCACCTCGACGTGGTGCTACCGATCCCATCTCTTTCCCTCCTGTGAATCGAACCCATCCATTCCAACGTGGGTAACGCTGCATGGGGTTTGCCTTCCATGGCAATGCCACCACTTGCTCCTGTATGATGAGCTGGTGGTGGACTCGTTCGCAAATCCGGCTCTTGATCTCAGCAGGTGTCTTGCTCGAAGACCTTGAATATTCTTCGATCACCTTGTGCCATATCGCAGCAGCTTTCCCATCGTGGAAGAACGGTCCACCCCATGGAGTCCGTGGCCGCTTGAGTGCAATATCGTATGCCTCGTTGATGAATTGTCGCCCATCCATCGTGACCTCGTTTGGAAGGGTGATCTGAGACTCCATGTCTTCTGCTTTCTCCCACAAGGACTTTCGCAGGACCCTCCGTCCCTCAATGGTTCCAAGTGGCTTAGGCAGTTGCTTGAATTTCTTCAGAGAAGCACTGCGCTCCCTCTGGAATGACTGCTCTCCTTCACTGAGCTTGTCATCTGCCATGCTCTCTTTCAGTTGTTTCCTGATCCCCTGCACAATGTTTGCCACTGCATCCTCAACCAATGCATCCACGATGAGCCCAATGAGTGCAGAGTGAATCTGCTCCTGCTGTGATTTTTGAGATGACCTATCATCATGATATGTATCTTTGATGAACCTAATGTAGAGGTCCAAGCAGTACATCTATGATTGTTGGTGTTAGAACATAATAATAATGATGGTATATATATATATATATATATATATATATATATATATATAATATTATATATATAGAAGTTGCACTGACCTCCCAATTAGGCCGGCCATAGTTAAAGATCCATGACCGTTTGGATGAAAATGCAGGTCCAGGGTTGGACTGCCTCTTGTTCCTTGGCCATGCTTCGCTGAAGATGGTGAGAGGCACCATCCCATTTGGCGCATGAGGTTCGAATCGCATGATTTCTGGATTGAGGCTCGGGAAGCCTGTCGTGCCTAGCCCCAATGAGAGCCACAAGGGGTCCATGAGAGAGGTGCTGAGCACCTTGCCGCTCCCACTGTGGGCGAATGCAACTGCTCGCTCTAAACTAGCAATGACCTCAAGATGGTAAGGGTCGATGGATTTCTTCTCTTGTATGAGCTGGTTGACATGCAGCCAATATCGTTGTAAAAGATGAGTGAAACCAAACGTGGTCCACTGATATATCTTTGGGAATATCTGTTGCAAAGGCAACGACAATAAGAAAAGAAAAAGAAAAGAAGAAGCATGAGCAAAAATCATAAATAACATCATGGTTTTCGCCCCGATGAGAAAGTTCTCATTTGGGCGACTTTGAGATGTTCAGAACATATATATATATATATGCACTCACACCAGGCTGGACGATCACGCAGTTCTCCTTCAGTGTATTGATGATCTCTGGCCTGCGCCATCCATGCAACAGTGGTGTTATGATCTCGGTGAATATCCACCTAAGAGAAATTGATAATAATTGATAGAGATGATATATAATATATGAATGATAAGCCATGACTCACCTTCCTGTTCGTACCCTTGATGGGATGTGAGACAAGTCCAAGATGTAATACTGTTCGCATCGAAGATTTGTTGGCGTGTCAGGCCTGTCCATCCGACTGGACCAATGATCAAATGGAAGCATTGAACTACAACGGTCTTGATGGAGATGAACACGAGAGGATTGCTTTGAGTCCCCATTGCACGTCCCAGCAGCAGCTGCGGTAATCCATCCATGGTCCACCTCTCCTCCTCCAGCTCGAGGTGCAGCACGATGGAAGGATGACTGGTACATTTGCAAAAAGACCCCTTGGATCGACTGTGGCGTCGAACGTTGCAACATATCCATTCCTTCGCTAAATTCATCATCATCACTTCCACCAAGACCAGTCGAGATAGATGTTTCGTCGATGACATCCACGATGGCTTGCATGATGGTTTGAAACTCAGGCAAGATCATGTTTGACTGGATTTGACCAAGGGTACCCAAGTAACCAAGTGGGTATGTTCGAAGTTGGATCGAAGGATAAGGATTATTATTATGATGATGATCTGGGGGATTCAAGGAAGAATGGGTTGCTGGACCTCTTGCTGCTCTGGACTCTGTGCCAAATGTGGTATCGAAGGTCTCTTGTTCGTCATCCTCAGAATCATCCAGACGAGAAGGGGTAACGAACATGTGGCTCGCAGTGTCGAGCTTCACAAGGAGAGCACCGTTGTTCTGGCCAGGTGCATCCACTGGATGGCGACGAGCAATCTTGTTGCCGTCTTTGTCGAACAATTCAACCTCACGTCCTTCCTCTTCATATGCAATGGCATCAGGATCAAAGACTTGCATCTTATCTGCCGTGTAAAGCTCATCGTGTGCAGCAAGGATGTCTGGAGTTGGGATAGGATCCCACCTCTGGACTTTAGTCGCACTGTATATTATTATTATCGTCATCGTATGTGTGTCAGTTTGGGAGGTCCAGGGTGAAGAGAGTCAGACAGACCTGATCTCGGTAGCCAAGGCAAATGAGAAGAATTGGACACGCTTGTAGTCAAGCTCTTTGTTCCAATGGGAAGTGGTCAGGTCAAAGGCCTCCTCAGAGGAGATGTTGATCGGGAGGTTTTGGCCATATTTGATGGAGATGAATATGGGATGACAGGAGCGCCAGATGTGATGTCTCTTCCAGGATTCTGGTGAGTTGTTGCGAAATTGGTCGAATTCAGAGGTGAAGATAGTCTCAAGGTTCAGCATATCCCTGAGGCGAAACTCAACTTTTTGATTTGTTAAGCTAGAGGAGGGGAGGGATGATGATGATTATTATATAATATATTATTATCATTCTTTACGCACAAGTCAGGATTGACATCCTCCCAGTTGGCTCTGCCATCGAGGTCGATGGCATAAGGATTGACAAGTTGGAATGCATGCTCAGTGAGCGCATGCATCGCATAGAAGAAGAAAGAGAGGACCATACGATAGAGACCAGTCGACATGCAGGTGTGCGATGTACCTTGCTTTGAAGCATGGCCAGGTGGGATGAAGGATTTGTCGAAGAAAGCATGAGGGGCCATGCCAAGGAAGACAGAGTTGCGAGAAGGAGTGGTGCCAACATATAGCATGGAACCTGTGGGGTCGAAACCAAGGAAACCTCGAGCATTGTTGAACGGACGTCTTGGTTGGCCCAAGTCAAGCGAGAAAGCCCAGGACCACTCATCTGGGTCCAAAGGGAGAAAGGTGCCAAAGCCAGCATTGAAAGGAACGAGGAGGCGGAAATCAAGACAGTGAAGAGGAATGCGAATAGCATACTTGGTAGAAGTGGCAGGATCTATGAATTCATCTGGCTCGATCCGTACCTTCTTTCCAGCGATGGCCTTGAGAAAGCCAAAAGGATTGGCAGCATCGTGGAGGGCTTTGAGGTGACGGAGTTTGATAGGGAGGCGAGGGAGGCGATGGAACTTGTTGTGATCAGGGGCAGGATGCAAAGTGCTGGTGATCAGAGCCTGGTGAATATGTTGCTGGGAGAGGGAGTCCTCTTCGAGGAGATCGGGGTAAGGGTTGTCAAGGTCGATCAGGGTGTGATCAGAGTCTTGATCATCATCAAGGGAGAGGTTGAGGAGACTGGATTCGATGGAAGATCTTGGGCTGAATGCAAAGGACATGATAGTGGAGAAAAAGTATATTGGTGAAGGGGGAGTTGGCCCAGGTGTTGAGATGCTGATGGAGTGAGGAGAAAAGGGGTAGGAGGTAATACACAATATATATATATATATATATATATATATTGAAAGCGGTGGAAGCACTGTGCTAGAGAGGCAGATGGGCAGGAGAGGCTAGATTAGGAAGGAAGAATGATGATGATTGTATGGGAATAAATAAATAATATATATAATATATATTAATGTTTTCCTAATAAGTGGTGGACGCCGCCTGATGCGGCAGGTCCCACCACTCTTCCATCCTCCGTCGTTGCAAAATATATTTGGGTTGAAGATCCAACCACTTATAAACACCCCACCCTTTTCCCAATCATCCCCTGTTACAACATATGCTGTTGTGTCCGGAGGGTGTGCGACAATGTCTCCCTCCAGCGTTACGCTTCAGGTTTGTTACAAATGTCATCGCAGAGGAGAGCAAAAAGGAAGGTAAGTACATCATGAAGATATCTGTCATAATCCGGAAATCGGGTGCAAAGGTGGACACACACGGGGAAAGGGGAGGGCCCGATGGGAATTTGGTAACGGTCACCAAACAGAATATGCACAAGTAAACGGTCACGAATATGCGACACAGTGCCCGTTGAAAGGAACACCGTGGTTTTCAGCAAGGGGAATCAACTGGTGAGAAGACGGCAATTCGGCAGGTGGTAAAAGGCTGTAAGACCAGGGAGCTAAGGATATTCTGTTAAGAGAAAGAGTAAGAAGAAATTGAGTTACTCACTGGTGACGTTGGTGGAGGAACTTGAAGGTAGCAGTGGTCCAGAAAGCATGAGAGAAGCAGCACAGGGGGGGGAAGGCAGAGTAAGCGGCATGAGAGTGGTGCGGTATACTGTGAGTGAAATTGTTGGGAGGACCCTGGGTTATCCCGAATTGGCAATGATAGAGGACCTTGTCATCAAACGCATTCAATCAAAGTCGAAAATTTTACAAGACCCGCTACAGAGTAGCGGGAATAATATATAATATATATTAATGTTTTCCTGATAAGGAAATTTGAAAGGGGAAAGGATAAAATGGAGAAGGAAGAATGTTGCACCCTGATGAAAAGTTTTCCATCGGGGTGAGTTACAACATTTAGGCGGCAATGTAATGCCATGGCAATATTATCAAGAAAAGTTGCCCAGATGGAAGAGTTTCCATCGGGGTGAGGGACTAGTAGTAAGGTGTTGGAAGAAATCTGCCCAAATGGAAATCTTGTCATCAGGGAAAGAAGTTCATAATCATTGTAAAGACACAAGGTCAAGTTGCTTTTCTCATATATTATTATCCATTTTGTCGATGACAATGTTATTATATATCAATTCACAATGGGAATAATGAAAACATCACCACTATTGTACATGTATTGTTGTTACAAGAAACAAAACAAAGATGATCGTAATGATGATCACATTCTTCATCGCCATCAAATCCAGGCGAGTTCAGAAAAAGGAATCAACATTCACATTGCTGAGGCAGGATCGAATACTTTGGCTCCCATCCGTTTTTTCGATGGCTGTGCCTTTGGCCCAGAGGATGTGGCACTTACGCTTCGACTGCTGCCAGCTGTGGCTGCAGTTTCTTGCAGAAGCCTCTGCATCCCTCGGGTTTGTCTTTGAGGAGGTCGTGGGGGGGAGTCGTCGGCTGTGTTGGAGAGATGGGAGGTGGAGTGTTGTGGTCATCAAATTCGATCCTGCCACGCTTTGCCTGCAACTCTTGATCACCCTGCCCAGCATCATTGTCTGCCTCCTCATCCTCCTTGTCATCGTCCCCATCCCCATCCCTGTCCTCGTCCTCTTCCTTGTCCTTGTCCTTGTCCTCATCTTCATCCTCATCCTCGTCCTCATCCTCATCCTCATCCTTGTCCTTGTCCTCGTCCTCATCATCCTCGTCCTCGTCCTCTTCCTCTTCCTCATCATCCTTGTCCTCTTCTTCCTCATCTTCCTCCTCGTCATGATACTTCCCAACATGTGAACGGCTTGGCTGCGTCGGAGGGAATCTTTTCCATGATTGTGAATCCGAGTCAGGACGATGTTGCCCCTTCACGCGTCCAGATCGACTACGTATTATTTAGATTAGTAGTGTATTAGATATTATGATTATTATTGATCATCACATACCGAACAGGAGCCTCTGGGACTGCCAGTTCCTGTGAGTGCTGTGAATCATGTGTGGTGGACTCTTCCACATCGCTGTGATCACTTGCTTCCTCGTCCATCATGGTGGGTGGGTTGTCAAACATGATATCATCATCATGCTCTTGGGTGCTCTTCTGGGTGCGGCTCTTCTTAGCTGAGCGGTCTACAATGATGGCATGGGGCATCAGCTTGATGTGAAAGTCCAAGGAACGATGGGGGGTGAGTGATGCTTACAGCTTTTTGGGGAAACGCTCAACGGCTCAGCTCGTCTCTTGCCCTTGCTTGAGGATGAAGAAGGCTCTAGGACTCCTGTGACTGCTGGTTGGTCCAATTTGACTGCATCTCCGATGCGCTTGGAGATGACAGCCTTGATGCTGTCGTCCAAAGAGTCCTCCTTGACGATCCAATCTGGAAATTTGATTGGGTCCTTCTTGGGATTGCGTGTCTAAAAAAGGAGGATGAGGGAAAGTGAGGTTGAGTTGTATGATGTATAGCAAAACAGAAGAGTGATGAATGATACTCACAGTCCACAAATGCTTGACGTTCTTGGCCTGGCCCTTCCAAGTTTTGGCACCAGCAAGAACCTGTCCTTCATCGAGTGCAGTGACATCAGACTGGTAGACAGCCCCCTGATAGCCTGCATCACGCAATCTGGAGGCGAAGGAACAGAGGTGGAGTTGCTATGGAAGGAAGGGGTGAAAGGGTGAGAAAGGGTCGGTGAAAAACAAAAACAAAAAAACAAAAACAAAAACAAAAACAAAAACAAACAAACAAACAAAGGATACTTGCCTCGTTGAGGAGATTCAGAGTCTTGAGAACCTCAGCATCGAGCGGAGAGTCTGGATCGCCTCGCTCACGATGGAGCAAGGGAAGGGAAATGAGGCGCTTGAAGATGGCAGTGATCACTGCACGATCATGCTGGCCATTTAAAAGGAATGCATGACTGAGGTTCGGATTGGCGCTGAGGTAGGCCTCTATGGTGGGAGAAGCACTCGGTAGAACCTCTTGCACTCGATCAAGAAAAATGTATTGATGTTTTTCATGGCGTAAAGCACCAGAGAGGATGGAGCGAAGGTCCCTCCTGAAGAAGGACCAGGCAGTTTCGGTGAGCAATTCACGACGATAAGTGGAGGCCATGATGCTGGCCAAATAGGCTGCGATACGGAGGCTGCGGGAATTGCGAGAGATGTTCTTTTTATTAGCAGCTGGCTCATATGCCCAACCAGTGACCAAGACATAGCCAGGAATGGACTTATTGTTGTCGTTCAGGCGAAGACGAAGAGCATCACCAGGATCACCACCTGTATTATAGTCACCAGCTATGGAGACATACTTGAGGATGGTGGCATTGAGATCCTTTTCAGCAGCCCAGGTGAGGTCGAAGGGAGAGGTGCCCAAGAAGCCAGGGATGCGGTGGGAGGGGACAAGGTTGGCCTCGACGATGGGAACAGGTTTCCTCGACGTGGGATCAGGAGGATGTGGGCGAGTGCTTGAGCGAGTGCGGGTTTTTTTGGAGGGAAGGGTGGATGGGCCTTCTGGATTGGCAGTGACGGGGCCTTGATCATCAAGGTCATCATGATCATCGCCAACATCATCGACATCGGCCTTCCTGGAGGCAGACTTTAGGATGAGCTTTGCAGTGCCATCCTCATGGAATGCATGGAAGCGCTTGACAGAGGCATCAGGGAACAAAGCAACATCATGATCGATGGTGGGAGAGAAAGCTTGAGCATATAGGAGGTCAGAGTGAGCGGCAGAGAGATGCGGACGGATACGAGTATATATCATCCATGCAAGCTATAATGAAAAGAAAAGATGAGATAGGTGAATATATATGATGATCAAAAGCATGTGTACATCACGATGAGTCTTCTTGGTTGCACGAAGGAGAGGATCGATGTTGATGGCATAGAGGACGCCAACAGACTCATCACGGAAGGGGCGTTTTTTTCCAGGGACCATATATCGGGAAACGCCATCAAACCAAGAGTGGATCTGTAGGGAGAGCGTGCATGAGATGGGGTGACCAGTATATCAAGGAATGAGGATATGGATATGGATTAACAAGAGTGAAATCACCCTGATGAGAACTTTTCCATCAGGGTAGAAACGAGATGGACAATGGCATGAAAGAGGAGAAGCCAACCCCGATAGAGAGTTGAGTGAGTGCAGGCTGCCCCGATGAGAAAATTTCCATCAGGGCAAAAACAAAACTGATTGATAACAACCAGCTGCTTCTTCTTCTTCACTCGTGTGAAAGAGTTGAAGATCGCCCTGATGGAAATTTTTCCATCTGGGCCAGAAAGCCAAATGCCTCCATAATATTCAAATAATACAATCACCCACCTCCCGAAGGGCCTCTCTGTGAGGCCGCAATGCTTTATCATACCACTCTGCCATGGTGTTCGTCGTGACTGGGACATAATAATCATCCAGTCCACCATAAAATAGCTTCGCCCGGTTCATCACCAGGTCACAGTGTTCTGTGTTCAGCCCAGGGATACCACCAGAACGTACCTGCGGTATGACAAGCTTCTCGAAAAGGGCCATCAGGTCCTTGTAATATCCGACGTACGCCTTCTCATACTCCTCCGATGCGGTCATAAAGACATCGAGCCCGCCGAAGAATCGCTTGTGGATCCTTGCTGCAGCTGTCAGAAATTCGTTATCGATCAGCCTCCAGTCCCCCAGAGGCATTTCAGGAAGGATAGCAGCCATGAACAGCGCGGATGCTGTAGACTGCTTCTCCTTGAACGTTGTGATGGCCTGCTTGACCTCCCTCGGATATGGGACTTCGTTTGCCATCATCATTTTGAACATTTGCTCACGATGTGTATTGATCTTATTGTATGGGATCACATCTGGATCCCCATCGGCCTTGCTAGGGGAGAACACGAGACGCAGACGTTCCATGTCTGCCATCATCATCTTCGATAGCCACTGATCCCCCCCCCCCCCCCATAATAATAATATAATAATAAATTTGTTGGCGCTCAGTTCCACAGATTATGATGATGAAAAAATGGGAAGACTTACGCCTGCATATGTCCCACAGACTTTCATCAAGGCAGAAACTGAGAACAGCCCTTTTTGTTGGCGAAAATGTTCTCCACCGCTGACCATGATCTGACATATCTCCTGCATCTCTTCGTCGAGAAGGAGTTGACGGTACTGTGAGTTGATCCTTACATCTCTCTTGAGCCAATCAGCGATGGGGGGCTTGGGAAGGCGAGAGCCTTTTGGCGAAGGTTGTTTCGCAGCACTCCAGTGCTGAGAGAATGCGGGTTTGGATTCCTCCAAGAGGGTCTGTTCACCGACAGCGATCTGGGCCCAGTATTGGAGTTGATCGCTGACAGATTCCTCAACTGAGGTGGTGTCAGTGTTGCGGGAGAGGGAATGGACGACAAGGGACCCTTCAACTGGTTCCTTCTCAATGGTTTCTATCGCAAGTTGGAAGGAATGAGAGAATTATTGTTATTGTTATATGGTCTGTCTCTCACCTTGGTCATAGACAATGACGAGCCATCTGTCATCATATTTGTCCAAAAACGATTTTCGCTGCTTCAAAGCACTGCGACATTCATCTGCAGAATCCTTCAGCTGCATGTTGTGTGGGTTGGCTGTTGATTGCTTCTCCCACGATGCCAGCTCCGTCTCGAGTTTCGGGATCTCATCGTTGCAGATCTGAAAGGCCATCTTCATGGCCTCCCAACGATGGCGCCCATTGAGGATGGGAATCATACCTGCAGCACCTGCCTTGGCTCCTTCATCGGTGAGACACAGGATCGGGTGCTGGTCGATCGATCGATCATCAGTGGCAATGGTGACAAGATCGTCTGTGGGGAGCTGGATGAAGGACTTCTTGATCAGGATTGGGATCATAAAGTCAGGCAATGTCGATTTGATGCCATTGCGTATTAGGTCTCTGGCAATCAAGTCTGCCGCTTTCTTGTTTAGGGCACGTGTATTAATTGAGCCAAAGGTGAAGTTGTAGGGGTTGGTACGGAGGCGATAACGAAATATGCCTAACAAGTGGTTTCGGGCAGCCTTGATGGGACAGGAAGGGAGGATTTATTGATTCATAATAAATTTTGTGAGCATCAAGTTGATCAAGAATGACATTGGTGGACATACATGAATTGCTTTGGCCTTGACCTCAGCATTCTGGAGATCGCGCAGATCGGCGGGGAGATTGAGGGGTTTATATCGATGATGTGCCCATTGGGCACGATTGCTGATGATGGTTGCGAACGATTGCTCAATTTCTTCATTGTCATCACTGACAATCGGCTTCGACTTGACTTTCTTTGTAAGCGCTCGGGAACGTGAGGATGAGGGCTCAGGTTTGGGTGGAACCGCTGCTGACATGACAAAGGAGAGGATGATTTTAGGATATGTGGCAAGAAATAACTGACAGGCACTTACAAGATTTAGACATGATGATGGTGGGGTGGTGGTGAGAGGAAAGATGTGTCGTGCGTGAGGAGAAGACAGGATAGGATAATGATAAGGCATCCCATATATGGTAAGGGAATATCATACCCAATAAGGGAATACCATATATGGTAAGGGACAGTAAGTGAATACAACATATATGGTATGGTAATTGAAATGTATTTTCATTATTTTATTATGTTATGGTGGAGGGGACAATTGGAGCACTACATGATTTTGGAGATGAAGATGGAAGGATGTCACCCTGATGGAAACTTTTCCATTAGGGCATGTTTATCACTTTCAGCTGGAGGATTCACAGAGTTATGCCCCAATGAGAAATTTCTCATCAGGGTGGGTGCCAGTAATCCCTCCAACCATGGGTTAGATGGCATCCCAACCACTGGTCTAACCCAACTCAAATGTCTTCATGCCCCTTACAATGTACAGAGATGAAATACAATGAAGAAAAAGGAGTAACAGATGATGTAAAAAAGTTCAAAAAGAAGAGACGGCAAAGGAGGAGTATCGGGGAGGAGGGAGACAAGAAAACAGGCTAGGAGCTGGAGCAAATGGGAATGTAGTTGAGAATTGCGGTATTGGCAGCAGCAAATCCGGGACAGAGTAATGTGTAGGTGGCAGCAGCGGCAGCGGGTCAAAAGCGTACCAGGGGAGCGCGAGATACCAGGCCCTTTTATAGGCACGACCTAGGTAGTATTTAAACCTCTCCTCAACAGCGAAAGTTCAGTACGTACCTCCACTGAATGGTCCGCTTCGCGCCTCTGTGCTGGAACATTCAGCGTACGACTGAGGCAGCGTGCTTTGACCCGTTCAGGCTAAGTTGCACGATAAATCACGAGAAATCCGTGATCGATGAGAGGAAGGCCAAAGCGGTCTCGACTGGGCGCAGCCAGGTTTCCCAGCCAGTGGCAAACAGGGGCGGAAACCTGAGGTCAGCTGGGGGTAGACTGCTAACCCGTGATTAGTGTTACTGAAGTTGTAGCAGGAGACGGCCAAGTGGCCCAGTGTATATTAGGCAAAGTGGACCCGTTTGTCCATATACAGAGTAGAACGCACAACAGAATACAGAAAGGAAAAAGGAAAAGCGGAAAAATAGAAGATGAGGAGACAGAGAGGTACAAAGTACAGCGCAAGTCAAGAGAGAGAAGAGTCGGTGAACCAGAAAGTTTGTGAACTCCATTAGGAGTGGAAATGGAAAGATGAAACGGTGGAGAGAGGGGAGGTGGTGGGAAATGCAAAAACAAGCTACTGAGCAGGCATGGACGATTCCGGGAGTCAAGAGAGCGGCAGCAGCAGAAACAGCAGCGACAATGCACGAGTAAGAGTTTGGAGACAAAGCAGTAAGCGGCCTTACTCACCGAGAGAGGCACGAGTCCAGGAGATAGAGAGGGGGGAAAGTAAAGGTGCAGGCGCTTTTATAAGTGTGGCCTGGACTAATTGTGAGCACTCTCGCAGTGAGGGAAGTTCAGTACGTACCTCCGCTAGTGTGGTCTGTTCCGCGCATCCGTGCCAGAAAGCAAACCTCATTGAGTAGTCAGGTTGCGCGGCAACTCGTGAATGGTAGGAGCGGTAAAAGGGAGTGGACAGGAGCGGCAGGATATGATCGGACAGAGGAAACCTCGGCATGAGCTGGGTTGGGTCTGACCACAGCCCCGTGATTAGTCCTGTGAAATGAGAACATTAAACAACAATTAAACGATGGACGGCATTAATGGTGGGCGCGATGACTCGGGAGGCGGAGAGAGATATGAACACCGAGCCACAACTGACGACACACTGGCATCTGTGCGCGCAGCAGTGTGACTCAAATCAATGTTGGAGGCCGCATTATCAGAGTACCGAAAGGATTTCCGAGATCGGGATTGGGTGATGATAAGGATTGGGTCGATGACACCAAAGCAGGGAGGGGTTGGACAGGGTGTCGAGTGTGGAGGGATCTACAGAATCTGTTGGGAGGAGCGTTCTTGAGCCAGTGCATTTGGGTGCGGCATCGGGATTGCAGTCCACTGAGCACGAACCGCGCCCAACAACCACATAACCGCCTGCAGAGATTGGCGATCGCAATAAGCGTGCGTAAGTTACAAGCCCTGCTGCGGTGGGGGAACTTACCAGTTAACACCAAGCGCAAGCGCGATGGAGAAGGGAGCAGAACTCCCACAACCTCAGCCTTCCTGGAGGCAACTTAGGATCCAGGCGCCCATCAACAAACACTGCGGGCGAGATGGAATCGCATACACGTGACTGCGACTGCGGGCTCAGTGTATCCCCTTCCATGAGACATATTTCCCTCGAATAAAGGTAATTATCTTCGATATAGCTCCTGCATTTGTTATTCAGAAACCAAAAAAAATTAAAATAAAAAAGGAGGGATGTAAAAAGACACGATGGCACGTCTGCCTGGGGAACACTTTGAGGGATATGCTCTGATCCCTTTGTGTCAAAGTATTGGAACCCCCAGGGAGCAGCAGATATGCCAAAGTGGGACAAGAGGAAAAATAAAATAAAAACGGGAATGCGGAATGGGAACGCTGCGCGGGAATGAGAGATGTAAGCGCTGAATACATCAAAAGGTTCCTACCTGGAAATCAACGCTCCCAACTCCCCCACCTTCATGCCGGTTATACTCTAGACAAGTTCAGCTCTCAATGAAATAGGAAGGAAAGGCTCACACCAGGGATTCGACTTGGGGGAAGGGTGCAGGGTTCCAAGGGATGCTGTGCTATGATATCCCAACGGCGCGCTATCGGGCACAACACAACCCTGCCTTGGACACAGGTAAGAGAACCTGGGATCGTTATCTGGTAGGGGAAGAGCGGGCCCTCCCTCCCCCCACCTCGATCCTTCCTGCACCCCAGTGGGAGAAAAAAAAGTGTCCACACAGCCTCACAATTTAAATGGCTACCCGGCTCCATCCGGCAACACTTAAATAGCCTTACAAGCGTGGCGGTAAATGCAATCGATTATTGTCTAATCAGACAGTGTGAGCACTTAGTGTAAATGGCCGGAACCCAAGCTGGTCCCAGCCTATGGATTGGCACGCATGCATCGTGCGACCCGGTCCTGGTAATGTACAATGAGATACAACGATGCCAAAAGAGAAGAGATTGGCCGACAGGGAGACAAATTGTACAAATACGGATACAAAGTATCGGGGTGGTGAAAAGGAGAGGAGGATTTGGAAAACGCGTTTGTCTCAGTAATAAGATGCATATCTCTTGTTAGTGAGGAGAGTGGTACAGGAGGAGAGCGAGGAGGACGGGATGAACTCTTCGTCGACAAATCGAGGGATAAAGGAATCTCGAACAAATAAGAGATCTCCAACGCAGGGTGGAGGGACCGAACTGGACTTGGACACAAAGGAATTGAACTTCACAATCATTGCATCCCCGGCATCGGTACCTGATTAAGAACCGGTGTTTGCAGCAGAAGCGTGTGTTCGGTGGCAGTGTCTGCGAGCGACATAAACGGTTAACCATACGCACCTGAGTGGGGATAAGGAAAGGGGCCGAACCTCGGATCCTGAGTGGATGATCATAGTCAGAAAGAACAGCACCACCACCGCGAACATTGTGCACAGCTCACCATCGAGAGCACGGAGGCCCGTATTGGGAAAGGCCCAGTCAGGTTTGCAACGATTTGCTTCCCTGCGGACGTCAGAACGACGTCAAGCCATCAAAGTCCGCGCTAAGGCCAGCAAATGAGGAGGGCCAAAAGGGTAGGAAAAAGCGAGGGGAGCCAATGAGAGAGCGAGAAAGTTGAGGCAACCAATCGGAGCGCTTCGATCGTAACTCTCCCCAGAACATACCAGGCACCCTGTTGTGCCGAGTATCCGTGGTAGCTACGTTGGTGTATGACATAAAGGTGACGTTTAAGCGTTGAAGTGAGGTGGAGGGGAGAGCTGAAGGAAAATTTGGGCATTTTATACCTTCACTCGGATACCTGCAGGCCACCAAACGTCTTCACATGAGGCGGCAACGGCAGGGAGATAACAGCTAACAGAGGTATGTAGCGTGGCTGACTTGCGCACCATAGCGCGGTATTCAGTTGTCCGTCATATGTGTGTACTGGCGCGCAGGTCTACTAACAACCGCCATTGCTTGCGTCGGATATCATGGCAGTCCAGAAGGGTGAAGGCCAGCTGTTTTTCAGCACGAGGGATCGGCCGGGAGGGGCATGAGGATGTGGTGAGGAAGGAGGGGTTTTGTTCGTTGAGGGGGGAAGAATTGATCGTAGAGTATCTGGATTAACGACTAGAGTGTATAGGCTAGCGGTCGGTGGGGAGAGGGCAACAGAATGATACTGACAGCAAGGAGAGATAGCCTCTTGTCGTGTCCAACGTTTCGTTCGAAGAGAAACAGGGGGGGGAGAGAATGATTCTGGAAGCGGACTGAGTGGGGCCCACACCCACTATTCAACTTTTATGCAGCCAAAACGCCAGCAAAAGCACGGAAAACTGCCTGTCTTGAAGATTTCAACCATGTTGATCGAGAGGGAGATGAATTTTGAGTTAACTTACGTGGATGATCGCACGGAGTCATTGCATCTCCTGCGTCCGTACTTGTACCACGTTAACCACTTGCGGAAGCGAAAGCATGAAGAGAGATGGGGCACGGTAGGTGATCACGGAATCAGGGTAGCTGAGCGACATGAACGCTAGGGTGTAACCGGGTAAAAATCCAAATCCATCAGACACGCTGAGTGATCGGAATGAGACCGAGCCTCGGAACCTGTGTCGATGTCCATAGTGACAAAGGAGAGCGCTCTCCATTGAGAGCACGGATGGCCATGGATTGGGAATGGCCCAGTCGGGTTTGCATCCCTGCGGACGTCAGAACGACGTCAAGCCGTCAAAGTCCGCGCTGAAGCCAGCGAACGAGGAGGGCCAAAAGGGTGGGAAAAAACGAGGCGAGCCAATGAGAGAGCGAGAAAGGCGAGGCGACCAATCGGAGCGCTTCAATCGTAACTCTCAGCTGTTAGGGGATGGACTTGGTTTGCACTTCTAACTCGTCAAATATAAGCGTGCGCTTCTCTACGCTTACCCGCACTGACTTAGCACCTACTATGGGCATATCCTTGACAAGTTCAGGGCCTACACTAACGAACTCTCTGTCATTAGTTACGACTCAGCTGAGCATTAAAAGTTCTCACAGCTGTGGCTATGACGGTTCTGGGCGAGCAACTCGCCCAGAATGTTCCCACAGCTGTGGCTATGACGGTTCTGGGCGAGTTGCTCGCCCAGAATGTTCCCACAGCTGTGGCTATGATGGTTCTGGGCGAGTCGCTCGCTCAGAATGTTCCCATGGGTCGTGCGCACCCTTATTTGCCTTCCACATGTATATATCTTATACTTGTGAGCTCAGCCATTTTATTGGTATTAAAGTTATTAGAATATCAGCGATTTACACTAGCATGTTATGCTCAGTCAATTGATCGTTGTTGAACTAATAAGTAAATAGAAACTAGTTACCTAGTGTGTTACGGTAGGACTGGGCACTGTGTTCATGACGTCTGGAGGACTGATTGCATGGACTTCGAAGAAGCAGGGCACTATTGTCCTCACTACTCTGGAGGCCAAATATGCTGCCATCAGCCACGCTGTTTGGCAGAACTAGCACACGATCCCCAATTCCATGGCGGCAGTAAGCATATCGATATCTGTCATCATTTTATTTGCTACCATGCAGAGTGTGAAGACATTTCTATTTTACATATTCGCTCCATCCCTTGTTTACTAAGTTTGTTTCTTCATTGACAGACAACGTCATGACTTGAGGGGAGTGAGCCATGACGACGTGCCGGTACGTTTTGTCTCATCATGTCATTAGTCTAGCTACATAGGTAGGTATATTACATGTTCTCCTACGTCTTTTGAATGGCTGAAACAAGGCATACGTATAAGTATTGGTAGGGCAGCCACATGGAATCATACTTACCTGGGAGCTGTATGCCACTTACGGACCGATTATGGAACACCAAGTAACATGTGCGTACCCTATGAGTGTAGATATTGAACATCAATAAAGAAATCCTCCCCCTCAGACGAGCCTGAGGGAGAGGTGGTCCAAAAATTTGTTATATAAATTGCCTCCAAACGAGAGTGGCAGGGGTTGAAAAATTGATGACCACGAACGATATACTCCAGGCCAATCTGCAACAGTTGGCGTGCCTCTTGACTCATCTCCTGTGTTGAACATCTAGCCATGAAGTCTCACGAAGGTCAAGGCCCTGGCTGAACGCCAACGCTGACACATCATGGCCAACATCAGCATTCCGGACGAACAAGTGGAAAAGAGTGGCATGGGTGCAAGATATACTGGCCACAGAGACATGGGAACACCTATCAACAGACTTGTCCGATCCGTCACCTGACACACCCCGTTCCCTGCCAGTGAAGCTCTGCTGCTGGCCCGCAATGTCCCAGGAGAATGACACAGGAGAAGGTTATTGACTTAGTTCGCATACCATGGCTAACCGCGTCCCATTTCTCGGGGTCTCCCACCAAAAACATCACAGAGCGTAGCGGCAGGCTTCTCCACAGGGCCAGGGAGGTTTTGTGACACCATCAGCGTTCTGGACAAGTGAACCCAAGCGAACGATCGCAATGCACGAGGTGAGTGCAAGTTGGGGGGGCTGCAGAGACAACGAGTCGAGGTATATATATCCACGCTTGCTCCGTGAGAAATGGTTGACGAAAAAATAGGCTGTCCACTTGCTCTGTGTCGGCAAGGACAAGCAAGTGGAGATGTCCACTTGCTCCGTGAGAAACGTTTGACTGAATAGGCAAGGACGAGCAAGTGGACATCCCCACTTGCTCCGTGAGAAACGTTTGACTGAATAGGCAAGGACGAGCAAGTGAACATCTCCACTTGCTCCGTGAGAATAAATAGGTAAGGACAAGCAAGTGGACATGTCCACTTGCTCCGTGAGAAACGTTTGACTGAGGACGAGCAAGTGGACATGTCCACTTGCTCCATGAGAAACGTTTGATTGAATAGGCAAGGACGAAACATGTACACGAAAAATGTTTGACCAAATCCCCTCATGGACATGTCCACTTATTCCATGAGGAATTTTGATGCACAGTCGCATCTACAAATACTCAGTCAGGCTGTGGGAGATGGCATCCTCGACGTTTCCCCCCTTTGAGTGTGTTAACATCCTTCTTGCATCCATGCTCGTCACTGATGTACCTGGTAGGTTCAAACAATGCCAAGACAGCCTTCTTCCCTCCAACAAGAAAAGTGAGCGTGTCGTTGCCAGTGTCTCCCTATGTGCTCATTTCTTTGGCATTCAGGATGCATCGCAAAGAGGGTGGCCAGTGTCCTTCTTGTTCAGAGACATTCGGCAGTGAGGCCCGTTTGCAGATGCACGAGGCCAAGTGCAACAAGGGAATCGTCTTAGTTCCGGACAGCGATAAGGAGGAGCTCTCCAACCGCCAGGTGCTGCGTTCAGACGATCTAATCATCCCCCCCGAGTTTCATCATCTCCAGCTGGGGATCGATCCTTGCTGGAAGGTTATCGTGTGCCAGGGATGTAGAGTGGGTATCAAACCTGAGTATCTCGCAAATCACATAACCTCCAAGCATAACAACATTGGCCAACTACCTGCCAACTACAAGGATATCCTCATCCAGCTAGGCGTCCCGTTCACTGTCACTCATCCAAGGTCCAAGGTGCCCCCCATCCAATCTATCCCCATAGTCCCTGGCTTCATGTGTTCCTTCCCTGGCTGCGGATTTGCTGGCTTGGCGAGAAAGTCGATGATAAGTAACCATCACCACGAAGAGGGTTTCAGACTCATCGAGAGCTCAGTCCAAGTGATACTGAAGGCAAACAAAGGCCATCAGGTGTGGCCCGTCGACGAGAATTACATGTCTTGCAGCGCTTTGGACCCCGATCTACAATCCTTCTTCATGGGTCTCTTCCAGGAGGAAGAATCCAGATGGAACCCAACCACGATGGACGTTTCCGACGACCCATGCCATGTGAACGGTTTCTTAGCCACCTTTGGGTGGCTGAAGCTCACCGAGTGTCTCCCTTTTCAGGAGTTGCATGAGATCACTCTAGCTCGAGTGTCGACTGATCCCCAATGGTTGCGGCCGCTTTCTGGTCGGGTGGCAGGGGGCTGGTTAGATTGGGTTTCAGGTCGGCAGATTCGCCTATCGGCATTGATTCGCCGCTGACAGAGCCCCGAGATTTGTCAGTCATGACAGTAAGTCCTTACACTGGGTGTAAGGAATGGGTGTTGGATGTAGGAGTTTAATGCATGCTGTGCACGCATTCTTTTATTCTTTACTTTATTCATTGTTCATTCCTTTTTTATTCCTTGATGTAAATAATTACATGTAATTAGATGCATGACCTACAGATAGCTACTGTACACCTGCATCATGGGGAACCCCATCCACCCATTCAGTGACACGAGAAGTAAATTCCTCTTCAGCTGCACAAAAATATTTGCAACCAGCTGGGGTTTTGCTCCAAAAAAATAGCATCCAATCATCCTCATCCCATCCTTTATGGCCAACCAGGGGTTCCATAGTCTCAACCATATCCACTTCAGCACCTTCAGTAACCCCCCCTGGAGCTGTACCACCAACATTTCCGTCATGCGCGCGTTTTTGAATTGCTATGTTCCGATCATGAACCGTTCGAGAGGGGCCACTGGGTTGATGATCTACTTGAACTTCAGGACGAGGAATGTTGTTGCGCTTTGAAAGCAGATGGGCACAACAACCCCACTGCTTGACAACTGCAGCACCATAGTTGTAATGGAGTATGAGGGAAGAGGGCTTGGATAAAGTTGTTCCTTGCACAAAGCAAGCATCCTTGTTTGCCCTGGAAATCAGCGAGGGATTATTATCTAGCGATTGGAGTGAAAACCGTTCGCCACGCGGATACTCTAACTGCGTTGCATCCATGGGAAAGTTATCAGGACCACTAGGTGGCACATCACCGACACCTAAAATACTATTCGGAGTCTGCATGAAGGGGTTAGGAATATCCAAGATAAGGAAAATGAAGGACCTTCAGGATTACAAATCGACGTGCATCTATGTGTTTGTGAATATCCGCTCCGACTGAGAGCCCATTACGAATGTCGTTGATGGATTTAAGGTCCGACACATCCTCTTCATAGGGGTTACGTCCGGTGATTATTAGACGGAACCACTTGGACGAGGTCTGAATGCCAGCGCGATGATCGGCAATATAAACCCACCTCGTCTCCGCGAGCATATGGAATGATGTGAGCTGCTGCAGGAAATGGGTCTTGTGTGAACACGCAGCAGTGATCGCGTTCAATGAGTACTGTGTGGAAGCCCGCCCGACCATCAGAGTGCGCTGAGTCTGAGTTTGAAACGTTACTCCGCAGTTTGATGACTTCAGGATCGATTGCATGCGCAAGCACATCCGTTCCATCTGTGTGGGTGGGATGGACGGTATGGATGGTCAGGCGAATGATCCAATAGGAGTTAATGAGAATGCAAAGGACCTGCCGGAGCACAAACATAATCATAGATCCCTTGATCAACCAGCACTCCTCCGTCCCCAATATCTTCTCCCTGATGCGTCACTTGGCCTTCGATACCCAAAACACACCAACCAAGGTAGCGGAGATACTTGTGAGGATGCTGGCACAACCGCGTAATTATGTGAACAGGTATGTCAAGGTAGAAGGCTCCATCGGCATTGCTATTGGGAGGGCGGTAGAGAATGAGCCAAATGTTCCCCGGCTTGGGGGTTGGACCCCTGAGGACAGGTCGACGTTGAGGGATTTCGACGTAGGCACGGTTAGGCAGTGTAGGTGAAAACATCCTTGCTGCTTCTGGTATGTTTAACTGGTTCCAGGTGGGGGAGGTGTGCCGTTGTGTGGGCTCTCGTGTGAGGACGAAATCCGCAGTGTGAGGTCTTCAAGGTCAGCGACTCAAGCTAGAGGAGACTAACTGGTGGGCAACACAGGTTGAGTAGGCGTCACAACGTCGGATGCTATGTCGTTAGAAAACCTACAAAAACCCCTCTGAGATGAGCGCAAAAGGCAACATGCACGTGCTTAGAGTTGAACGACAAACCAACTAGAGTAAATAGTTAAGTAGTCAGAGCGAGCACAAGAACGGAAAACAAAAAGTGCACCGATGCGGCATTGGCTGGCCGTTGCATGTCAGTTGTCATGTCCATTGGCCGAGCCCTCACAGTGTGATGCAGAAGGTGCAAGATGCCCATTCAGATTCAGGGCGGGAGAGTGATGCTAGTAGGACGTGGGGAAATTGGGGCAGAAGAGTGTTGGATGGACAAGCCATGACGACGTGCCGGTACGCGTATCAGTTACTGATATAGTACCATGCGTTATATTTCACTGCTTATTGCGTTCCACATGTAGCGCTTACTCGCATCTTATACCTTTGTCTCATCATGTTATTAGTTATACCGGTTACAATGTTACTACGTGTGTGTGAGATCTTCCCCCACTGAGTATCCCTGCTGAGTGCTACATAACAAGAAATAGGAAGGAGAGCATTGACCGAGCCCTCACCCCCCAGTGTGTTGCAGAGTGTGTGAGGCGCGCATCGGGTGGGCCAGGAGTAGCATTGATAGAAGGTGGAGAATTTGGCCAGAATAGGAAGGTGATGAGCGAGAGCGGGCTCTCCAAATGTGTTGCTGAGGTGCGCATCGGTGGGCTGGGAGTAGCATTAGTGGAAAGTGGGGAAATTGGGGCAGAATAGGAAGGTGTTGAGCGAGAAACAACATCAACGCGGGGAAATGCGCTAAGATCTAAAATGGGTCTAAGGCCAAAACTACGAAGGAAGTGTATGGAATAAAACATATTGAAATTGGTTTTGCTCTCGGGGGGCTTCTTGGCCAGGTAGTACTTTGATGTCGCTCATGTTTTCGGACAATAGCATTATAGTTGTGAGAGATCTTCCATGCTGTAGATAACTTTGAGTTTGCAGTCGAGCTTGTCCATCGTGGATTGTTGAAGGCAAGTTGCTGTGAGGGATCTTAACGTCGGCAGAGGCCAGCGATTGTGGTTAAGAGAGATCACGAAATCTTAGGATAATCAAAAGTCAAACTCGATATTACACTAGAGGGTGTAAAATACAAGATCTCTGTCTTTTCTATCTACAAAGGTTCTAGCTTATATACGGTTCTGTACGCTTATCGCTTACAGTTGCTCAGCTAAGATATCAGCTGTGAGGTGATAGTCACGGATCATGCAAAGTATCGCTTCATGTGAATCTAGTTGCTGTTGTGAGGATGCGAATGTGAGGTGGAACGGGAGGGGGTGTCATCGGTGTAATGAGTGTCAAGTTGAAATGCACATATGTGAATTGGACTATCTTACCGTGTCAGAATCTGACCCATATCCGATATCGTCATCCATACACCGTGCCCCGTTCTCGTTGGTTTTCTCCTTAAGAGCATAGGGATTAAGAAAAGAGAAACAATGAAAATCAGACTCAGGGACATACCAGTTTCACAGCGCGAATCTACATCACCCGATGGTGAGCGAGGTCGTTTAATTGCAACGGCTGTGATCGATCCCATGGTCCAATTCATATAGAGGGGTATGGTACGGTGACGAGTCGCTATGTCTCGGAAACTCCAGGTCGGAGCCAGATGTGACTCATCACTGCCTTTAGCGCTGCATCCCACTGGTTTTGGAGAGTTTGCCCACGTATATCCTTCCATCGTTGGGGGAACACACTTATGAACCTATTCTGGTTTCCGCCGATCCCTGGGTTGACCCCACCTGGGGGATCGGAGGTGTCACAGACAATGGGACTCGGGATCCGAACGGACCAAGGGGGAAGGTGCTGGGACACGACAAGGACAGCTGGGCGGCAATATCCCGCCCAAAATGCAAGAGGTCTCGCAGTACTGGTCAGCATTTTCATGCATCTCGCGACCAATTCTTGTGGGACCTGTACTTGAGCCTGCAATTGAGAAAACAAACAACTAGATTCTCTTTCGAGATTCCAGCTTCTCCTGCATCCCTCACAGCATCCAATACTGATGGAGCTCCTCAGATAATTCCGAGTTGGCAAACAACGTTTCCGAAGAGCGTAATATGCAGGCTTTCACAGTCCACAGCAGCCTCGTCAACGCATGGATGAGGCCCACATGCAGCTTGACGTCCATCAAATGTTATGCTATGCCCTAAGGCGCCAGTCGGGTTCCCTATAGATGGCAACTCCGAGGTCTTGTAAGCTGGTGACACGCTGGGCGATACAGAGAAGGACGGATCGTGAGTGTCCTCACTGACCCAATAGGTAAGCATCAGTTCAATTCCAACACGATGGCGTCCCAATACACCAAAAATTGCCGAACTCATTCTATACTAACATAAAAATTTGTCCACACAAATGGAAAAGTATTGCGTACGCGTTGTGATAACGGTATCCGCGCCCCAGCTTAGGGTGTGATGGGTCATGATTGGAGAGTGCAAAAATCTTCCGTACGAAGAACTTCGTTAGCTTCGGCAACTTCTGTATCCCCAAGCTGTTGTAGGAGTGCCACTGCAAGTTTATCGTCGTAAATGTTCTTGGGTGTGGATACAGTCATCTAAGATTGCGGATCAGATCTATCGGTTTCGGCCCCATTTCACAGAGTCTCGCCTTGATTGCTGCCTGAGTAAGCCCCCTGATTCTCGGACCCCCTGTAGAAGGGGCATCGCTGGCAGACCTCATGACGAATGGGTCGGAACAAAGAGCGTTTTCATCTCCAACGGTGGTGAGGAAGTAATCGAACTTTGGATCATAAGATCGGGAATCGTCCGTGTATCCGAACCGCTGGGCAATCGGGCAAATGCTTTTTGGAAGTGTTGCACCGAACAGCTTGGTCGCTTGGTCAATAACTCCGGCCCGACTACGTCCCAGAACTGGGTTAACAATGGGTTCAAACTGAGCAGCAGCGAAACCTACAGTTTACCCTTGTCTATGTAACTTCTTAAGAAGTCGACATGCGTTAGCGAGTCAAAATTTACGGGGTCATCGGGATGGTCATCAGGAAGGTTTGTCGATCCACGAAACTTCAACTACAGGTCCATCCATTGAGCTTCCAGCCTCTTGGCGTACGCAGCATGTCCTCCCACAAGGACTTTGGAAACGCGCATACGTGCGCTGTGACAAGAGATAGTAGGAAATACCTCTGAGAGTGCTCCCCAAACTGGTTTCGAGAGGTGGCGCCAGCGAGCTCTGATGATGGCGCCGGCGTCTCGAGCAAGCTCGTCGAAGTCATCGTTCCAACTGAAACGTCATCGAGCCTTAGGAACTGCGCTAGTGTTCGCTTCTGTGAGTGAGACTGAGGCCACTGTAAGACATGCTGGATTAATCTGATCTTGCACCTCTTCTTTCTTCCTTTTTCTGAGTCAGACCTTTTCGAAGTAGGGGCCGGATGGTTTGGCGAGACTTGAATTTAGTTATCAGCTCCTTCACTGTTTCGCCTCAGCAATCTTCAGGGACAAGACCTTATCCAGCTCACGACGAGGTTTAGTCTGACCGAGTAATCGCTGTTTTTCGTTCCGTAACCTCCTCTGCTCCTCCCTCCTCCATGAAAGAGTTGATGGCGTCCAGCGGTGCCCCAGTGATCTCTTTCCAGAAGGTAAGATCAGGCTCATCATACGCACGAGTATTGATATCCAAGCACGATGAAAGGAAATCGCGCTGCAATTTTGCCAGCACATAGGAAGCGCTCCACGAGATTGGCCGTCAAATATGGAACGCAATAGAAGGATGACCTTGGAAGAGGGCACGAGGCAAGGAGATGGCCCTCGGTCGCTGAGACTGTTCATTGTCTTACTCAGGGTCCGCGGATCTAAAGACATCCCTTCCGGAGTACTCATGACTACACCATCCGCGATCCTCCTTTCGATGACCTTTTGGAACTGTTCATATATTCGATCCTCCGACAAATGTGCGATCCCTCCAAGATCCTGAAGAACTGTCAGGAGTTCTTCCTGTCGACGCAAAGCCGTAAGATTGGCATTCCTGGGTGCTGGGTGTTGAAACCATGTCAGGAAGGCGCCACAGCTGACTGCTGGGGAGACTCACCTCTGATCCCTTTCCGAGAATGCGCTTTGGTTGCTCCCGGGTTGTGCTGATCTGCGGATGGGGACGCACCGTTTGAGGGGGGGGCCGAGAAACCCCAGATTCAACATTTGTCGTCTTACGACATTTAGTTGGATTTTTTCAGATAAACCTGCTATCGCAGGACGCTTTGTGGCTTTCCTCGTCTGTGAATGACTGTTGAACACTTCACCTGTCGAGAACTAAATGAGATACACACTGATTTCAACATAGGATCCTCGATTATCCCAGGACGTTGGTCATTGATTAGAATCGATTGTTCGGGTAAGCCACCACCAATTAACCTCGAATTGACAGAATTTCCATTATTGGAAGTACCCTCTCTGGATCGACCTAAGGTTAGATCTCCGCCTTGTGTTGTTTCATGCGTAGCGGCAGGTGGGCTCTGAGGATCCTGCGCCAAATTCCTGTCCTTTGGTGGCCTGCCATGTTTCTTTGTGCCACTGATGGAATATTTCGAATAGCGTTAGTCTTCTTCTCTGGCACACTCCACTCCTTTCGTGGGCAGCCTTTCTTGACAGTCCCATCGGGTAGTATTGGATTCCGATTACGAGGAATCCCATCTGCTTTAAGACTGGTCCTACGATCTCGCTTCATTGTGGGGCGACAGAAATTGTCGACATATTTTGCCAGGGTGTCAACATCCCCATCGTAAAATTCTTCTTCGAGGAATTCTCCAAAACTTGCCACGTCAGACAAGTCCTCAGCCAAAATATTTCCGAGTTTCTCAGTGACAGCATTTGGATCAAGTTGTGAGCGCTGAAGAACCGATTTTGTCCAGTATTCCATGTGGCATTCGCGCCCATAATGCATAGCTTCGGAGACGATAGCGAAATGGCGGAGATGATGGGGCACTGGATGTTCCTCATTCTTCTTCATGAGATGTTCGATTGTCCACACATCGAACTGACTGAGGAGCGCCGTCATTTCCTAGTAGGTTGTTAGCCCGCGAGAGAGCAAAGGGTGAGACGGGTCGTACATTGTACGTCTTACCACGTTGGGATAAAATATCTGCAATTTCAGTTAGCTGGCGATGAATAGTGACATTCCACTTCGCCAACGTCTCCGGAACCTCACTAGAATTATGTGATATGTCAGGGTCCCCTGTGACACCGCATTTCTCACCTTTATGGGATATTCCCTGGACACGTTGCCCACCTACGGTGGGGCGAATGCAAATGATCATCTTATTTCGAGCCATTTTTGACGGCACAAACACTCGTTCAATAAGCCCGTGGCGTTCCATGTTAATGATTTGGCGCCGGAAAAGTCGTCGATCCGCGCGAGTAGGGTTCTGACATCCCTGAAGTGGTGCAATACGCTATTAGCTGCTCCACCTGAAGGGGAGTGTACCTACAATGGTGGGCAATGCATTTGTGTAAGCATGAGTGTTGTTGGCACGGTTTCCCAACAACTTTTTGACACGCGCAGCAACTAATGGGAAACTTCCGAGTGTCAGAGGATCCAAAGGCTCAAATTCCAAGGATTTGACAGCTTCATCGATATCATGTTGGGATTTTTCCTCCTCATCGACCAGCTCTTCTTCGTGGGTCCCATAAACGGCGGAGGCAATGGCAAGTCCATTCTGAGAAAGCCGCTCTGAACTTCTATCGCAATAGACTGCAGTTGTCTCTCCTCAGCAACCAATTTTTGCCACACTTCGCTATGTTCCCAAAAGGAGCGATGAACAACACAATTCTTGGAAATCCCAGAACTGTGGATCTTGTGCCTGATGGGACGAGGGAAGTGGCATCAATTGAAGTAAGCGATTCAACACAAATGATGACTGACACTAATTCGAGTTCCTCCAGGGATTTGACAAGGTGGAACATCGATCCGAATGAGTATTTGGCGGTCTTGGCGCAAGCAACCAGCTTGAGCACCATGTATGCCATGTCTGTCATCTTCGAGGGCTACTCCGCGATTAAATTAGTTGTCAACATCCAAACACATTCCACAAGCACCCACTGACTCTCGCATGAGATCCTGTCAAAGTCCGGAAAATTGTTGAAGGGCGGAGGTCATCGGATTGGGAGCAACGGAGACTTGCGGAATTTGAGGACAGAGGCCTATGGAGACCTGTCCAGTACGTATTACAAGGGAGGATATATACTGAATAAAATTATCTGGTTGGAGGTGCTAATATTTTGTGCGTCGTGGTGCCCTTGGAACAACCTAAGCACGAATCAAACATGGGAGGATGATTCATTGAGTATCTCCCAGAAAAAAACCAGCCAGCCACGAGTGTGCTCATACCGTAGTCGCCCTCAAAACAAAGTTCTCGCACGCAGTATTGCACAAGAGTGTCCATGTGTCCGTCGTAAGAGTCAGACTTGGTGTCGGGTTCAAATGAGTTTCACAGTATGCGTTCCTTGAAAGGCTTCTTTGCGCTTTTGGTACAGTCGCGGGTCGTTGCCTAGTGTTGGTAGAGGCGTCAGCAGCGCTCACTGACATCTATCGCTGTTTGTGTCGCTGGGAAACGTGACTCGTTGAATCAACGTTGAATAGGAGATCTTGGGCCATCAATGGTGCATGGCGTCAGATTCAAGTCGCTCCTTGCAATGACAACCTCATGTTATGGAATGCGGTGATATTCGGACCAAGTAGCCGATGGAACATTCAATTCAACGAGTCCTATCCCAACAAACCCGCCACCGTTGTCAAAATCATCCGAACATCCATGCGAACGGAGAGCTTTGCTTCAGAATCGCCGGTCACCTACCCATGATGTCGCTGCGATACTAACGAGCATCCAAATGTTAGTTTCACGGTCCCATCCCTATGGGTTTCATTAGTTTTGACCCAAACCCTCCTCCAGGTCATCTTATCCTGGCACAACACCATTTGAGACCGATTGATTACATATTTTCACAGTCAGCTCTCCTTCAGCTCCCTCTTAGGGCTCATGTAAATATATGTGACAAATTTGGTAGCAATGCGATGTGCTCAGAGTCGACCTCCCCCAAGCCCGCGTCAAGCCGAGTCGGACAGATGCTAAGTTAAGAGTTGATAATGGTGCCAAGGCTAGGATGTTGGATCACCAGAACCCCATAGGTGGTCCGAAGCAACGCCCCGAAATGATGATGGAGGAAGCAGACGGATGGGGTGAGGCATTTCCTTCTTCGATTTTTGCGTGCAGGATCGAAATTTCGGGCACAGTCAACTGAGTGTGACAATCGAAGTAAGCAACGTTAGTCCGCGAGCCATTGAAACAAGAGGTCAGAAGTGGGGATGGGCATACTTACTGATAAGTCCAAATCCTTCTAATCGACCAGTGGTTCTCCCGAAGTTAACAATCTTGAGCGACATTATTCCGGGCATGAAGACTTACTGAGTTAAAAGACAAATCGAATGATGGAAGCACTTGGACATGGAGACAGAGGCAGCGACGATCGAGCGAGGGGCCCATGCCGAGATGGAGATGGTGGTATGGGCAGTATGGGAGGCTCGGGCAGAAAGGCTCAGGGGTGCGAGCTCAAAGAGTGTTTGAAAAGGGATAAAGGTGAGTGATACCCAGTGAAAGAACACCGGAAAACCAGCCAATCGACCATAAATCGGCAATCCAACCCTCAAAACCCCAGCGGAATCGACGCAAAAGCCGAGCACGACGCAGCCTGTCATCACCAATCCCCACGGGTTATCGATTCTGCGAAAATCGGTGAAATTGCCCACAAATTCAGAATGTGCAGCACACAGTGGCCGGCCACCACAGACGTTGTACAATTGCTGATCAGGAATCGAGAGAAACATTCGATGGTAGAAAGGAAGCCTCGAGCGTGGAGTCTGAAGCGCTTGAGCCAAAGAAGTTGAGATGGTGAATTTGGTGGCGAGAGATATGGGGGAACCGATACTTACATCGTCGAGGTCAAGAGACAGTGTAGACTCCTTAGCGTCAGAATCAGCATGCCACGACTCCGATGAAGCGACTGGGCAATGCATGCCTGAGGACCGGTAGCGTTTCTGACGCTAGGGAAGGGCGAGTGGGGCGCGCGGTCAGATGCAACGACCGTAGCAAGCAGGTGGGCAGACGCTAAAGACATTGTCGTTGTTGTTGAACTCTTGTTCGTTGAAGCATGTAATGTCGAGATCACTGAACCGGCAACTGCGGACACGCGGGCTTGGGCGGATATGAATGATGCGAATTGAGGAATGGGGGGATCAGATGTGGGAATAGGTTCTAAGGGCGTCGCTGTCACGACCGACAAATCCCGGGGCTCCGTCAGCGGCGAACCAATGCCGATAGGCGAATCCGCCGACCCGAAACCCATCCTAACCAGCCCCCAACCCCATGTCTGGCCCCCTGCCTTACTGTGTGAGACTTGGCCAAGAATCAGAACCTAGACCCTGTCGGTATTCCGACCTTACCTCCAGTTCCTGAGCCCTTGGTGCTCCCGGCATTCAGTCATGCCTGCCTTGTCTCCATCTGAACCACACATCGCTTCCTGCTATGTGGTCACAGCCATGCCCCGCTTCCGTGCATTCCGCACCCTCTGCCCACTCCGCACCCTCTGCCCACCTCTGTACCTCTGTTGGCCTTCATGCTGTCCTTGTGTGACAGTGCTGGCAGATCAACCTCTGTTCGCGGACTTGTGTCGGCACCGCACCGACCCCGCTTATTTGCGGACTTGTATCGGCGCCGCGCGCTGACCTCCGCTTTCCCTCTGGCCATTTGTCACTTGGCAGCTTATCATTCATTCCTTGCCGAGTGCCATTTATTGTTTGCTTCCCTGCCAATATCGGCATTTGATCCCCTCTTTATTGGCACTAGGTTATTGATCTCATTCAGTTATTCATCAATAACCCTTGCCACTTATTGTTTAGTGATCTGTTCCTCATTTCCAGTTCCCGGGCTCTTGTCCTTATTTAGTTTGACAATCCCCGCTTATCTCCGCGCCGGACCGCGCCGGACTGACCGGCCTTTCTATATTCCCTCTTGCCTATTTATCTACCTTGTAAATACTTTCGGGGACCCCAGTCTGAAATCAACTAGAGTACCCCCCTGTCTGTTCTGAGTCTCTTCTTCTGCAAAGGGGCTTCCCCCCCTCTGAGTCCGTGCTTGCGGAGTCCGCGCTCCTCCTACAGGTCCGCTCCGCCTGCAAGTCTTGTTTGAAGTCCGCTGTGAGTGTCAATCCGTAAATACGGGATCTCCCCCAAACGTCAAGCTCAGGGCACAGCGCTCCACCTGAGTCGCTGAGGCCGCGATCCCACTCTGCTAACCTTGAACAGCGCTTCCGGACGCGCCACATATTTCCGCCCGCATATCCGCGCGCGCGCGCTCCAACAGACCTCTGCCACAATCTCCGACACCGACAATATCCCAGCCTCTGACAAAATCCAGTCTCTGACAGTCGCAGAACATCAGAACGGCGAGTTAAAGGGGGGAGAAAGGCATGGAAAGGGGGAAAATTATGACCAACGCACCAAAAATCATCAAACCAGCCAAAACTCATCCCCCCGTCGACAAAATCGCTCGAATGGCAGCAGATCGTCCACCCGCTTAGGATGAAGGTCCTAACGTAAGATCCGGGCTAATGGCCCAAGGACCGGCCAAATCGGCCAAAAATGACACAGAAGGCCGTCACGAAGCAGCCCATCCAAAGACGCCTATGGCCAAAATCACCCATAGAGATCCGGGGTGAACTTGAGCGCTGACAGCGCATTGGACCAACGTGAGGCGTTGAAATGGAGGCTAAGGGCGTACACAAAGCGACCCACCGCCATAGATCATAGACACCATCGATCTGATCGCCAGAAAACTAAATGAGAGTCTGGAAATGTGGTTGAGCGCAAATAGGGCAGAAAGTCAACTAGAAGCGGGAAAAATTAAGTGAAGAGTCGTACGGAGTTGAACTCTCATCAAAGGGATTCCCCAAGAGGATCTGATACGGAAACTTCAGCGGCCGAGACTGATACGGAGGATTCAGTGATCGATACAAATTGAGACCGACGTTTTCAACGGCAAGAGACAGATGTTCTGAGTTGAGAAGGGGGATCGTGGAAAATAAAAAAGAGAGATATGGAAAAAGAAAAAGCCACGATGACGTGTCTGCCTGGGAACACTTTGAGGGATGTGCTCTGATCCCTTTACATCAAAGTATTGGGACTCCCAGGGAGCAGCAGATATGCCAAAGTGGGGGAAAAACAAAATAAGAATGGGAATGCTGAACGGGAATGCTGCGCGGGAATGAGAGATGTAAGTGCCAGATACATCAAAGGGTTCCTACCTAGAGGTCTACTACCCTCGACTCCCTCATCAGCTCTCAATGAAATAGGAGAGAAAAGGCTCACACCAGGGATTCGACTCGGGGGAGGGATGCAGGGTTCCAAGGGATGCTGTGCTATGATATCCCAACGGCGCGCTATCGGGCACAACACAACCCTGCCTTGGACACAGGTAAGAGAACCTGGGATTGTTATCTAGTAAGGGAAGAGCGGGCCCTCCCTCCCCCCACCTCAATCCTTCCTGCACCCCAGTGAGAGAAAAAAATGTGTCTGCATAGCCTCACAATTTAAATAGCTACCATTACAATACAAAAGTCACATGTGACGGACATAACCACAAATCCGATCACCTACTCCGGAAATCAACTTGCAACAATAACAACCACTTAGTCCAGATTTTATAATGGAGATGGCTGGGTATGAGTCTGGAATCTCAACTCCCATGGCACCCATAAAAGGAAATGTACCAGTGTGACCATAGGGAAGGTCCGGGTGGCAGTACTTGGAGGCTGTGGGAACGTTCTGGGCGAGTTGCTCGCCCAGAATTGTGGCTGTGACCTGTGGGAACATTCTGGGCGAGCTGCTCGCCCAGAACTGTGGCAGTGTCTGGAGGTCTTCTCACACTTCCATGCTCACACAAGTGTACAAGGCACTTGTGTGCATGCCGGAGGAG